AGTAAAAATATATATATATATATATGGTGAGATTGCTGGTTTCATCAGAACTGCAATGATTTTTCTTCTCTTTTTCATCTTGCTGTTTTAAAATACTCCAAAGAAGGAAAAATGAGTTTGTTCTTTTTTGTTTAAAAAAAAAAATCAGGGATGGAGAACTTATTATTTATTTATTAGTTCAATTTATATGCCGCCTTTCTCCAGAGACTCAGGGCGGCTTACAATGCATTTAGAAAACCATTATAAAAACATTTAAAAATTAAAACATTAAAACCCATTCACACCATTCATGGCCGGATCTCACAAGATCGCAACATCATACTTTTGTATATACCTGCTTAGTAGGGCTTTGGCTCCCACTAAGCGGTGTTCTTTTTTATACAAAGTCAGCTTATTGCCCCCACAATCCAGGTCCTCATTTTACCTACCTCGGAAGGATGGAAGGCTGAGTCAACCTTGAGCCTGGTGAGATTTGAACTCGCAGTAATTGCAGGCAGCTGGCAGCTAAGTGCTACTTAACAGCACTTTAGTCCGCTGCGCCACCAAGGCTCCTTTGTTTGATTATTCCAAAATTTAGAGGTTCAGGAATAACATCCTATATCTATGTCGATTTTGGAATAGGAATAATGAACACACTTTACTTATTTATTAATTTAAAACTTATATGCCGTCTATATCGGTGACTCGAGGTGACTTACAATCAATAAAAACAACAATATAAACATTAAAATAATAAATAGTAACACCAAACGTGGTTTAAAATTGACAAAGATGGCTAAAGAATGGAGCAAGATGCCCAAGAGAAGGAGGTGCCATTTTATCTTAGTCCATTAACCACCTCCAGAATGAGATGTCCCCATTGGGGCCAGGCCAGTTGCCAGAGCCAAGTCACCTCATGGAGGGGGGAATGATGTTCCAGAGCAGGGGTCTCCAACGTTGGCAACTTTAAGACTTGTGGACTTCAACTCTGAGAGTTTAAGTCCACAAATCTTAAAGTTGCCAACGTTGGAGACTCCTGTTCCAGAGGGCATTGTACTTGGGGCTTTGCCAATTTGAGAAATTGTTACGTTGCAGTTTACATTTGCTGCAAGTGATCCCATTGTGTGTTTCTTCATTGCATCACAGTCGTTTATATGTGTACACAGACAGGTTTGGAATGGTTTGTTCTGTTCCATTGTAAATAGTTGTGGAAGCTTTATGTAATCCAACATATTTTTTAAAAAAATTGGTCGTATCTTCAGAAGGTTAACCCGTGCTCTTCCTGATGTTGAGCAGCAGGTACACCCATCAGTTCCCAGAATTTGGATGCTAAGAATATCTGGAAGGCTCCCAAGTCAACAAACTGGGTGACTAGAAAAATTTCTACTAAGTAATATTAGTCGTCAGCTCTTCAGGAACCGTGTTGCTGGAAGGAGGCAAAAAATGAAAAGGAGAATAAACACTTATTTTACCTTGGTCTCATTTAGGGGATTTTTTTCGCCAGGGATCCAGATGGCATTGTGGCAGAAGCTAAGAGCTCTCACACACAGAAGAGAGAAAAGGAACACAAGTTGCATTATCTGTAAGAGATCACTACATCGGTATTGAAATGCACAAACCAAGAATGAAAGTCCCCTTGAATGCATATGGGTTAATATAAAAGGAAAAAAAGAATGACATTTATTTATTTATTTATTTATTTATTTATTTATTTATTTATTTATTTATTTATTTATTTATTGGTTTGATTTATATGCCGCCCTTCTCCGGAGACTCAGGGTGCTTACAATGCATTAAGCAATAGCCTTCATACTTTTGTATATACCTGCTTAGTAGGGCTTTCGGCTCCCACTAAGCGGTGTTCTTTTTTATACAAAGTCAGCTTATTGCCCCCACAATCCAGGTCCTCATTTTACCTACCTCGGAAGGATGGAAGGCTGAGTCAACCTTGAGCCTGGTGAGATTTGAACTCGCAGTAATTGCAGGCAGCTGGCAGCTAAGTGCTACTTAACAGCACTTTAGTCCGCTGCGCCACCAAGGCTCCTTTGTTTGATTATTCCAAAATTTAGAGGTTCAGGAATAACATCCTATATCTATGTCGATTTTGGAATAGGAATAATGAACACACTTTACTTATTTATTAATTTAAAACTTATATGCCGTCTATATCGGTGACTCTAGGTGACTTACAATCATAAAAACAACAATATAAAACATTAAAATAATAAATAGTAACACCAAACATGTTTTAAAATTGACAAAGATGGCTAAAGAATGGAGCAAGATGCCCAAGAGAAGGAGGTGCCATTTTATCTTAGTCCATTAACCACCTCCAGAATGAGATGTCCCCATTGGGGCCCAGGCCAGTTGCCAGAGCCAAGTCACCTCATGGAGGGGGGAATGATGTTCCAGAGCAGGGGTCTCCAACGTTGGCAACTTTAAGACTTGTGGACTTCAACTCTGAGAGTTGAAGTCCACAAGTCTTAAAGTTGCCAACGTTGGAGACCCTGTTCCAGAAGGCATTTTACTTGGGGCTTTGCCAATTTGAGAAATTGTTACGTTGCAGTTTACATTTGCTGCAAGTGATCCCATTGTGTGTTTCTTCATTGCATCACAGTCATTTATATGTGTACACAGATAGGTTTGGAATGGTTTGTTCTGTTCCATTGTAAATAGTTGTGGAAGCTCTATGTAATCCAACATATTTTTTTTTTAAAAAAAAATTGGTCGTATCTTCAGAAGGTTAACCGTGCTCTTCCTGATGTTGAGCAGCAGGTACACCCATCAGTTCCCAGAATTTGGATGCTAAGAATATCTGGAAGGCTCCCAAGTCAACAAACTGGGTGACTAGAAAAATTTCCACTAAGTAATATTAGTTGTCAGCTCTTCAGGAACCTTGTTGCTGGAAGGAGGCAAAAAATGAAAAGGAGAATAAACACTTATTTTACCTTGGTCTCATTTAGGGGATTTTTTTCCCCAGGGATCCAGATGGCATTGGTGGCAGAAGCTAAGAGCTCTCACACACAGAATAGAGAAAAGGAACATAAGTTGCATTATCTGTAAGAGATCACTACATCGGTATTGAAATGCACAAACCAAGAATGAAAGTCCCCTTGAATGCATATGGGTTAATATAAAAGGAAAAAAAGAATGACATTATTTATTTTATTTATTTATTTATTTATTTATTTATTTATTTATTTATTTATTTAATTTTTATACCGCCCTTCTCCCAAAGGACTCAGGGCGGTGCACAGCCAAAAATAAAAACGAACACATATAAAATTTAAAACAGTTTAACAGTTGAAATTGGGCAAGCTGGTTGTTAAATTACCCCCCCCCCCCACTATCAAAGTGGATCCTGGGCATTGCACTGCAGTGGAGAAACAGGAAATGGAGCAGCTGGCATGAGGGAAGGAGGAGGAGCAGGGAGAAGAAAGAGGGAAAGCGGCCTTCTCCTTCCCTTGCACCAGCCGCTCCATTTCCTATTTCTCTGGGCAGCGCCCAGGATCCATTTTGATAGCGGGGCGTGTGTGTAATTTAACAATCAGTTCGCCCAAACTGGTGTGAACCAGCTGAATCCAACCACTGCCTTTAGACATAATAGGATTTACCCACCACCATTAAATAGCAAAAGACACAAGGCTCACTATATTGCACAACCCCCTGGAGCATCTCAATCACCAAACCCCAGAACCCTATAAAAATCCATCCACACTTTGAGCCATTTTGTCATCCACCCCAGAAACATGCTGCTGTCACTGAAGTTTCTGACATCCAAATAAACAAGATACCATCTTTCCAAACAGCCAGCATCCATTTTATTTCCAGCATTTTTCTCCTGCCTTGGAACTGGACCGAATTTTACTTCCAACAGCATGAATGATGACATTAAAAGTAAATGTATTTCTACTGTATGTCTTTGGTCTTCATATGTATGTAAATATAGAGTTAAGAGTTCATTCCAACAACTCCCTGATTCTGTGCCTAACCAAACTGAAGAAATTACTTGGATGAGTAACAAAACCTCTCCGTTTAATAAACTTTGGTCCAGTTGCCGTGATTTAACCTTTTTTTACACGTCTTTGGTCTTCATTAAGCACATTTATCATTTTAACTGCAGCATCAACAACTTCTGGGTCATCCTAATCCATTTCATCTTGGAGAGAATTGGTTGGCAAAATCTAACGCTGAGGACTAGCAGAATGAAGAGTTCCATACTGAGGGGGAAAGAAGCTCCTTCTTAAATGTGGTAAAGTGTGGGAAGGGGAGAAAGAGCTTTAAAATACCGGGTGGTATTTTTGCCAGCAGAATCTGAGCACGCTACGGTAAACTGATATGGGGTTACAAATATTTCATAGACTGGAATCATACACTGAAAAAATCCTTACAGGTTTCTTCAAGTACTTGTTTCTTCAAGTACACCTCCACACACCAGGGGTGGGTTCTACTTACCTTTACTACTGGTTCGCAACAGGATCGTGCGCGTGCCGAGCTTCTGCGCATGCGCAGATCGCCTATGATGACATCCGGAGCGGTGGGCAGAGCCTCCCGCCAGTTTTACTACCGGTTCTTGTGAACTGGTCCAAACCGGGGGCAACCCACCACTGCCACACACCCAAGTTTATTTACCAGCAGTTTAAAATTCATGTTTGCAATTTACAATGTCAGGGTCAGACCATGTTTACAACAGTGGGCGGTTCTGGGAATTTCAAGAACATTTTCTAGGTTGATAACAAGTCAATTTTAAAGGGAGAAAGAGTGGAATTTGCAAATCTTTCCCAAGAGTTGATGCTTTCCCCTCTCTATTGTCAATATTGATGAGGTAAGCGTGTGCATGATTCAGGGAGTAAAAAGGTGATGCAAATGCTGAGCCAACAGGGCTAGCAGTCTGCTTGGAAACCTGCCCAATATTATTTACCTTTGTCAGCCTGTGTTAAGGATATTGTTGTGTTAACCAACCAGCAGAGTAAGTGCACAGAGAAATGGTACTGAGAGCAATGAATACAATACATACAAACTGGTTTAACTAAGCTTTTACTTTGTAGTGAAAAACAGTTGCATAGTCTTTTTAATCAATCCAAGTCTTTAGCCATTCAAATCAGTCTGAAGTTACAGATATCTTCTTACCAGACAAACAGCAGTAGGTAATAAACAGCAATTCAACGCTGGTAACAAATCACGATGGTAGCATATCCATCCATGTCTTCACACATGACAGTAACAGTTCCAACCAACAAGTCAAGCAGCAAGTCAAGCAATGATGAGAGCAGGTCCAACAATGACTATAGCTCGGCTTCCTTCTTATATACAGTTTATACTAGTAATTATCCACTTAAGATAAGTGAAATCAGCAGTGCAATGACTCAACAGTACAATTATGATAATTGCAGTCAGCATTCAGTCAGCAGTCATTAGTTATTACAATGACTCAGCAGTACAATTACTCAGCATTACATTTAAAGTTACAGAATACATTTAAAGTTATAGAACACATATATTGCCTGGACAACTTGTTAGACTTACACCATATCCTAACAGCCTGGAAAAAGCAGTTTTCCAGAGCCACACAGAACATCCTTCGCTTAGCACTTTTGTAGGACAGACATATTAAAATCTGACCGACAGAATAAATTCGTCCTGTAGATCCAAGGATTGAAAACGGTTCTCAAAGTGCTATTATATTTGGAATAGATATACCTAGATCAGGAGTGGGGAACAATGGCCCCCTTTATGACTTGTGGACTTCAAATCCCAGAATTCCTGAGCCAGGAATTCTGGGAGTTGAAGTCCACAAGTCATAAAGGGAGCCATCGTTCTCCACCCCTGACTTAGATGTTGAATTTACAGTAGGGGAAAAAAAAACAATTTAATGCTGAGTAAGATGCAAATGGATGAATTTTTAGATTGTTTATTTTTTACAAGGCTAAGCATAATCATGTGTAAACTGCAGTTGAGGCCTACTCTATATTCCATTTTGTATTCAGGCCTATCAAGGGTGAAATGCTCCCGGATTGTACCGAATCGCCCGGTCTGGTAGCGATCTTGGCTGTTGGTTCAGCAATCCGGTAGCAACGGTGGAGTGAAGCTCCGCCCACCCGCCCGGGTGTCATTACTTCCTGGTTTTAACCAGGAAGTAATGTGTTTTTACCTTCTGCGCATGTGCAGAATGTTTTGTACATGCGCAGAAGGTCTGCGCACGTATGTGACGCACACAGGCGGTGCATGCACTTTTGAACCGATAAGCAAGGTAAGTAGATTTCACCCCTGAGGCCTATGTGCAATTATCTGAGAAATCATTGTTTTATAATTTTATGAGCAATGGCCCATGAGGTTGTGGGTTGTCTCGGTTTGCGCTAAAATCACCCCTTGTGGTTTTTTCTTTTTTAATTTGATTTATATGCTGCCCTTCTCCAGAGATTCAGGATGGCTTACAATGCGTTAAGCAATAGCCTTCATACTTTTGTATATTTTTACAAAGTCAGCTTATTGCCCCCACAAACTGGGTCCTCAATTTACCTACCTTAGAAAGGATGGAAGGCTGAGTCACCCTTGAGCCTGGCGAGATTCGAACTTACTAATTGCAGACAACTGGAGTTAAATTACAATGCATTAGTCTGCTGAGCTATCCAGGCTCAGCATAAATTTATTAATTTGAAATCAATAACAGAAAGACAAGATCAAGATAGATTGCATTTAAGCAATACAGGAACATTTGTCACTTCTTTCTGAATGACATACAGGTACAGATCGTTTTCGCTCACTTATTGTCAGGCGCAAAAACAGGAACACTCACTGAGTTCAAAGCACAGAAAAATGTATTATAATTTCCTCCACACAAGAATCTAATTAACTAATGGTGAAAGTTAAATTGGTGCTAGATAAGGGTCCACAGAATTCATGGGTGGTGGTGGTGGTGGTGGTGGACATAGGTCTTTTGTGGCTGTGCAATGATTCCAAACTTATGACGTGTTTAATCCCATCTTCCAGCTCAGCCTGCTCATCTTTCACATCTATAGCTCCTATCAGGACTTGTGCTATTGATTTCAAAGTCCTTCTGCCAATTTTGAAAACCCTTAAAATACATTTGCAGGCTACTCATTAAACAATAAGCTAACCAAGTCAGTTGTACCTGCATAATATGCTACTCAAGGCTGACACTAACTCAATATCTAATGCATATGCCACTGAGTAAATGTGTTATGGAAATACAGTCTCTGTTGACCATTTTTACTGATAGAATAGAATAGAATAGAATAGAATAGAATAGAATAGAATAGAATAGAATTCTTTATTGGCCAAGTGTGATTGGACACACAAGGAATTTGTCTTGGTGCATAGGCTCTCAGTGTACATAAAAAGAAAAGATACATTCGTCAAGAATTATAAGGTAACAACACTTAACGATAGTCATAGGATACAAATAAGCAATCCGGAAACAATCAATATCAATATAAATCGTAAGGATACAAGCAACAAAGTTTACAGTCACGCAGTCATAGTGGAAGGAGATGGGTGATAGGAACGGTGAGAAGAGTAATAGTAATACTAATGTAGCCTTAGCAAATAATTTGATAGTGTTGAGGGAGGACTTATTTTAGCACATGCACTCAAAAGCCTGATTGGGCTTATTATCCAGGGAGGTCTTATTTTCGGGGAAACAGGGTATGTTTTTCAAATGATTTCCAGACCATGCATCACTCTAAGATTATATATAAACTATGCTCTCCATATAAGAATATTTATACAATATTCTTGGTTACAATTTATGGGGAACTTAAACTAAAATCAACACATAAATGCAGATATTAATTATTTTTTCCATGAAAAGCTTTTTAACGTGCTTTTTAATGTGCTGATGGTGTAGGAAACAAAGACAAAAAGCTTGGCAAGAGGTCATATTTGGGCTTCCCTGGGCATGACTTTGATCCTGAGGAAACCTCCGGGAAATGTTGTATTATGAGTTTTCCATGTCTTCCTTGGTCAGGCAAGGGATGGTCACGAAAGTTGGCACCAGGAGCTTGGAGGACATCATGCTCACTCAGAATCGGAACGCGATGGACAAAGTCCACCCTGCTACGATGGAAAGAATGATGGGTGGTGAATGAATCTTGGTCTTCTGAGGATCCGCTTTCTTCCCTTTTACACGCAGTGTCATTAGACCTGTGATGATGGTGGCGGCAGCGACGATCAAATTTAGGAAACCTCCTATGGGGCCGTCGGTGGTAATCATCTGGTCTATGAGGAAAAGGTCCGGGAAATGGAGGCCAAGGAGGCGGTTGTGGATATTTACTAGGAGGAAAATGATGGGGACCCCCAGGAGGAGGAGAAGGGTACTGAGGTCCTGGAGGAGGGGGAATGCCAGGATGTTCCTCTTGGGTCTGTTCAGACTTATGGTTGCCCCTGGGACTTGCAGGACTTACTTGATAATGGCCAAGAATTTGTGTGTCTCTATATTCGTGGGGGTGTCCATGATGGTGAGAATGATTGTGGTGATGATGATGATGACGATGAGGGTGATGATGATGATGATGAGGGCGATGATGATGGTGGTGGTGGGAATGAGGATGTTTATGATGTCTGCATTCCTGCCCGGTGACATTGCAATGATGACGGCCTTCTCCTGAATCATGGTGGAAGTGGTGATGGGGATGGTGGTGATGATGATGGAAGCGGCTGAGATTCTTTGCAAAGGAAGTTAAAAGGACAAGTCACCATTTATGAATGTATGGAACACAGATGAGAAAGAAGAAACCAAGTTAGTTTAGAACTCTTATTTGCTGTGTATTTGTGAAGGTATGTAACACGTATTGCAAGGAAAATGCAAAATATATAAATAAAAATACTATATAAATAAAAAAACCCTCCAATTTTAGTACCCTGTAATCCCTTAATTCAGGGTAGAGTCTGGGCAACTGATTAGAGCTGAACGTTTACTAGCTGGATGCCCTTCCTGATGCCTAAATGGAGTTCGCAGCATTATATTTAATAATACACATAAATATAAGTCTATGTGTTTTTTCTCCTAGCAGTTAAATCATTTGCACTCTTACCTGAGTATCATAGATTGCACAGGAGTCTACTACAACCACATCTGGGGCTCCTGACTCTTTAACTATTCGTCCTACGCAAAATCCCAGATTCTACAGAGAAAAAGGAAATGATAACAGTTGAGATGAATTTTGTAAATTTGACATCTCTCTCTCTTTCTCTCTCCCTATCTCTCTGCTTCCCTCAGTCGTCCTCCTTGACTTATGACCACAACTGAGTCCAGCATTTCTGTTGTTAAGCAAGATGGTTGTTAAGCGAGTCATGACCAATTTTATAACCATTTTTTTTACAATAGAACGCATTGCAGTTGTTAACTGCATCATGTGGTCTTTAAACAAATCCAGCTTTCCCCATTGACTTTGCTTCTCAGAAGCTGGCTAAGAAGGTCATAAATGATGATCACATGATTCAGGGATGCTATAACCATTGGACATACATGCCAGATACCAAGCAACCAAATGTGGGGATGCTGTGTTGGTTGTAAGTGTGAGGACTGGTTGTAAGTCACATTTTTCAGTGCTGTTGTAACTTTGAATGGTCACTAAATGAATGGTTGTAAGTTGAGGACTCTCTCTCTCTCTCTCTCTCTCTTTGTCTGTCTATTCATCCATCCATCCATCCATCCATTCATCTCTCTACTCATCCATCCATCCACCACCCATCCATCTCTCCATCATCCATCCATCCATCTCTCTACTCATCCCATCCATCCACCACCCATCCATCTCTCCATCCATCCATCCATCCATCCATCCATCCATCTCTCCATCTCTCCATCCATCTCTCCATCCATTTCTCCATCCATCCATCCATCTATCTCTCCATCCATCTCTCCATTCATTCATCTCTTCATCCATCCATCTATCTCTCCATCCATCTCTCCATCCATTCATCTCTCCATCCATCCCTCCATCCCTCCATCTCTCCATCCCTCCATCCCTCCATTCATCCCTCCCTCCCTCTCTCCCTCCAGATCTCCATCCATCTATCCACACACGTGTACAAACACACACGTTACAGTTTTATAATGTTTAAATCTGTTACACCATGAAGAAATAAAAAATGTCAACAGTTTAATAATAAAATTAGGCATTTCCTCTCCTTCCTCTCTGTGCAACTGATGTCTTCCTAGTCTTTCCTCTCTCCTCCCTTCCCCTTTCCTTCTTCCCCAAGGACCCACCTTCCCACCCCAATCTTTTCCTACAAACAAGAGAAACTTAATCTGAGGAAGGAATAAGCATGGGAATTTATAAGATTCCTTTCAAGAGTATTTAATTACACTTTCTAGGATTGATTTTATCCTGTTGTCAAATGATCTACTTGTTAAGACAAAAAGAACAAAGATTTTTCCAAGAACTCTGACTGACCATAGCCCTGTATGGATAGAAATTGAGATGGATAAGGTTGAGAGACGTTCTTGGAGATTAAATGAGAACTTGTTTAGATATGAAAAAAATACAATAGAACTTAAACAGCACTTGAAAGAATTTTTTGAAATAAATTTGAATAAAGGTACCCCAATTGAAATTGTTTGGGATGCAAGTAAAGCTTATATGAGAGGGGTACTCATCTACATGAACTCTAAACATAGACTGCTCCGACAAAAGAAAAGATCTGAGTTGGAAATGGAAATAAAGAATAAAGAACAGTTACTTATTAAAAATCCAACAGATGAAAGAATACGAAGTGCTATAAAACTTTTGAAAGACCAATTTCAAATGCTTATGGCGGAACAAGTTGCAACAAGTTTACAATATGCGAAGCATAATACATTTTGCAACGCTAACAAACCGGGCAGATGGTTGGTTTACACATTGAGGAAAAAACAAAGTATACGGACTATTGATAGTATTGATATTGGAGGGAAAGAAATCTTTCAACAAAAACTAATTAAAGAAGCTTTTGTGGATTATTATACTAAACTATATGCCAAAGAAGAGGTGCAGAATGGACTTATAGAAAAATATTTAAAGGATAAGAGAGTTACAAAAATTACTGATCAACAAAAGGAAAGAATGAATTATCCTATAACAGAGGAGGAGATAACAGCAGCAATTAAACAGCTAAAAACAGCCAAAGCTCCTGGCACGGATGGTTTGACTGCAGTGTATTACAAAACTTTACAAGCTGAAATGGTGGGACAACTTAGAGATTTATTTTGCAATATTCAACAAGGGGGTAAAATACCCCCATCCTGGACAACTGCTTATATATCTTTGATACCAAAAGAACAAGTTGGTCCTAAAAAACCAGAGAACTACAGACCAATATCTCTTTTGAATACAGACTATAAAATTTATGCGAAGGTATTAGCCAACAGGTTGATGCCAGTAATCCAAAAGGTGATTCATGCGGACCAAGCGGGATTTATTGAGGGCAGATATATGAAGGACAATGTAAGGCAAGTAATAGACTTATTGGAATATCTTGATAAGAATAAACAGATTTCTGCAGTGCTGGTTTTTTTGGATGCGGAGAAGGCCTTTGATAGAGTGGATTGGAATTTTCTACTAAAGACTTTAAAAAAGATGGGCTTTGGGGACCAATTTATACAGGCGATCTCAGCAATTTATCAAGAGCAAAAAGCACAGATTATTATTAATGGAAGTTTGACGACAGAGTTTAAAATTGAAAAAGGAACAAGACAGGGATGTCCGTTGTCCCCACTTTTATTTATTTTAACATTGGAAGTCTTGCTAAATATAATACGGGACTCAAAAATTTTGAAAGGCATAATGATAAGGCAAGAGGATTATAGAATAAAGGCATTTGCAGATGATCTGGTGGTTACCCTATCACAACCAATGGAATCAATAATCTTGATGAACGACATTATACAAGACTATGGTAGAGTTTCAGGTTTTAGAGTGAACTCAAAAAAGACTAAAATGATAGTCAAAAATATGACACAAGATCGTAAACATGAGTTTGAAAGGAGGGCAGGTTTTGAAATTGTACCTAAGGTAAAATATCTTGGAGTTCAGGTTGCAGAATCAAACATGAAATTGTTTCAAAATAACTATGAGGTGTTGTGGCGAGAGGTTCAGAAAGACATGGAGACTTGGAAAAAGCTGCAACTGTCTTTACTTGGAAGAATAGCAGCAGTTAAGATGAACATTTTGCCAAGATTTCTGTTTTTGTTTCAAATGATTCCGGTGCTTAAAAGTGATAAACAACTGAAAGTTTGGCAAACTGGACTTAATAAGTTTGTCTGGAACGAGAAAAAGCCGAGAGTGAAATTGAAAATTATGCAAGATGTTCCAGAAAGAGGAGGCCTTAAACTTCCAAACCTACAGTTATATTATGATGCAGCAGCTTTAACTTTAACAAGTGATTGGTTTGGAAGTAAAAAGGCTGGAATATTGAATGCAGAAAGTTTTGATCTTGAATTTGGATGGCATGCTTACCTATTTTATGATGATAAAGTTGATAAAGTATTTAAAAGTCATATACTTAGAGACTCTTTGATGAGAGTTTGGAAGAAGCACCGACTCAAATGGGATTATAAAATACCGCTATGGCTGGATCTTGGTCATACCTTGTGGAATACAAATATAATGTCACTCGGGGGGTTTTTATACAAAGAGGTTCTTTTTACAGATGCGGGCAGATGGCAGTTGAAGACATTGCAGACACTGTTGGACGAAGGGATTAATTTAACCTGGTTACAATATAATCAATTACAATTGAGATGGAAAGAGGACCAAAAAACTGGTATTATGTTGCATGAGGAAGAATTGGTTAGACATATAAGAGAGAAAGGTCCAATGCATATTAAAAGGCTTTACAATGTTTTGCTAGAAAGGGATTCAGAAACGGAATTAGTTAAAGATTGTATGATTAAGTGGGCACAAAATTTTGAAGAACCAGTGATGTTGGAAACATGGGAAAAAATTTGGGTTCAGAATGTTAAATTTACACAGTCGCAGAATTTGAGGGAAAATTTTTATAAAATGTTTTATAGATGGCATCTAGATCCTAAAAAGTTGTCATGTATGTACCCTAATGTTCAGCCAAAATGTTGGAGATGTGAATGTTTGGATGCTACGTATTATCATGTTTGGTGGACCTGTAGGAAAGTTAAGGCTTTTTGGATAAAAATATGGTGGGTCATGCAGAATGTTTTGAAGAAAAAAATTCAATTTTCTCCACAATTGTTTTTATTGGGTATAGTTAAGGGTTTTACACGGGGTGAAATAAAATTAATATTGTATATGATAACAGCAGCAAGATTGTTGATAGGTAAATATTGGAAGAATGAAGCTTTGCCTACTATCGAGGAATGGACTTTGAAGATGGCCAGTTTTGCAGAGATGGCGAAGATTTCAGCATATTTAAAAGATTGTCCACAAGAGACTTATGAATGGGAATGGAAAAGGTGGATAGAATATGTTCAGAACAAATACCAAACTAGAAAGTACCAAATAGCTTTTATTTGAAAACAATGTATTAGAAATATTTTAATGTAAAGAGATAAAGACGGAAAATTATATAGGGGGAGGGATGGGTTCAGGTATATATATCAGTATTATTAGTTATGAGTATATAATAGGGAAGTCTGGGGGGGAGGGTTAGGGAGGGCTAGGGAGGAAGGGAAGTTTGGGGAGGGAGGTGGGGGGGTGAAAAAAAGGGGTGAAAATGTAATTGTAAAACTTTTGCAATAAAAAAAAAAGAGTATTTAATTACACCTTGTAACTTATCACACCATATTGTATATGTTATATCTTCTTATACCGTAGAACACTGTTTCTCAATCTTAGCCTTTTCAAGATTTGATCGGGGAATTTTGGGAGTTGAAGTCCACGCATTTTAACATTGCTAAGGTTTTTGAGAATCACTGCTGCAGGAAATGCTGTGCTACCTTTCAGTTTAGCTCACAATTTAAAACTGAGATAACAAAACTGTGATGGAATAAAAAGGTCAATGGGGCCAGAACAAAAGTGTAATCTAATGTCACTGATAAAAAAAATATGCATTGAATTAATTAAATAAATACAGTTAAGATGATAGAAAAGGGAAAGTCACCCTCAAGTTAAGGTTGATCCCTGGGGACTAAACAAACATAACCCTGCAGTTTTCTTGACAACATGACAATAGTGGGTGTGACATTTTCTTCTACTAGATTATTTTTCAGTTTCCCAATTCAGCTTGGGAATTAAGGTCTCCCATCACAATACTAACCAGATTTGATTACGCTTAGCTTCTGAGCCTGAGAAAGCTAGGCAATATTTTTCCTTTATGCTGGTAAAAAAATCTGATAAAATGGCAATTTTTCTAGGCGTTTTGGAAACCACACACACACAAAGCCTCTTGGTATGCCCAAGATTGTGCAGGAATGGGGAAATTGCAGTTCTCCTCAAATTGCTGAATTACAATTCCCATCACACCAGCCTTTTTTCGTTTATAAAACGTATTTATAAGGCTTGACTGCAACAATTTTAACGGGTGAACAACAATAAAAACATGGGGCTCCTTATTAAATCAGTATCTAGATCTGCTATTCTTCCCTTTAGCAGCTATAGTTTAAGTAAAGTTTAAAGGCTTTTCTCTCCAAGGCATACGTATCAATCCACTGATCCTTGTTACTGAGATACATTTGAGGATCTATAATAGATCCTGAAAACCTCTATATCGCAACTGCCTATTTACTTCCTACAAATTGTTAGCCAAACTACTTTTGCATATATTATCTCCACTCACAGCTTTTCCATCAGGCAGGAATTCACATTGGGAAACACTTGTTGTGTCGGTGTTTCTTGGGCATCTTGTCTCTTTTATGGTGAATTCAACAATGAATCCCGTACGGTCGGCCACCTGCATAAAATAAACAAAACAGGGATCAAATTATATCCAACTTTTCCAATATTGTAGTTCACTTTGGCGTTCGCATCTAAGGATGACTGCAGGACAGATGTAATTTTTTTGATTAAAATTTTCACCTAGGAAAGTTTTAGAAAAATCAGGCTATTCCACCGGGGTCTGTTCAGAATTAAATCAGAATAATCCTAGGCATAAGATAATGGAGGAGGAAAGAGGACTAAAGATGCCCATTCTCGACACTGCTAGTACAATAATGATGTCCGCTTTGGAAGCCATATTAGGCCGGAAGCTTCCATGCTGCCACCTTCTCATGTGTGGGAAAGTAGGAGGGGGGATTTAGTAGAGAGGTTGCCTGTAGACATAATGGCATTCTTCCTGTCAGTCAAGGTCAGGGAGATCCTGCATCTGGAGAAGGAGTGGTCAGAGCGATGTCTCAAGATAGGACGGCGGTTGATTGGAGCATGTGATTGACTGAGGACTGAGGGGATGGTTTGGGGTTTTTTGATTTACTGAGGAAAAACTTGGACCTCTCAGATTCGGGTTTTCCCAGATGTGCCAGTTTACTATTTGCTATTCTAGTAAATAGAACTTTGAAAATGCTTGCTTCCGAGTCTTTACTTGGAGCTGAGTTTTTTTCTGGAGCACTGACAAATGACACTACGAAAGGGTTTTAATACAGTTAAAGGTAAAGGTTCCCCTCGCACATATGTGCTAGTCGTTTCCGACTCTAGGGGGCGGTGCTCATCTCCGTTTCAAAGCCAAAGAGCCAGCGCTGTCTGAAGACGTCTCCGTGGCTGGCATGACTCAACGCCAAAGGCGCATGGAACGCTGCTACCTTCCCACCAAAGGTGGTCCCTATTTTTCTACTTGCATTTTTTACGTGCTTTCGAATTGCTAGGTTGACAGAAGCCGGGACAAGTAACGGGAGCTCACTCCGTTATGCGGCACTAGGGATTCGAACCGCTGAACTGCTGACCTTTCGATCGACAAGCTCAGCATCTTAGCCACTGAGCTACCGCATCCCCTTTAATACAGTTAAGAGATGGGTTAAATTTGATATGCTTTCCATTCATAAAAATAGCAACTATAAGAATAACACTTTTAAGAAGGAAGGAAGGAAGGAAGGAAGGAAGGAAGGAAGGAAGGAAGGAAGGAAGGAAGGAAGGAAAGAGAATAGTGAAAGGTGCTTAAGTAGAATGGATTTAAACCATTTTCCACTGCTGGTCCTTTCCTTCCTGATATCTTGGGAAATAATTTTTTACATAAGCCTACAGATCCAAGAGGAGAACACGGATACATACTGCGCTGAAAACCTTCTGGACTTTCTCCACCTTGAAATAATTTGACTCATTGCTCTCCAGCCTGTATTTCTCTAAAATCTTGTTGGCTTCTTCGGTGTGCTTCTCAGTGTCCTCTAGAACTGTTACTCTTACAGGGCAACGCTTGCATTCATATATTTTTGGTGGAACTGTAAAAAAAAAAAAAGCACTGTTATCAACACTGCATTGATCTGAGTTGACTTCACACATTAAAGCTGGAGCAAATTAGTAAAAAGTAATCTTCCCATGTAATCTTTAAATGCTAAAGTTCTCAAAAAATTTCCCTGTTAAATTTTTGATGTCAGCTAAGTGATAATATCTATTACCACACTGTTCCTGCCACCAAAAATTAAAAATTCAAAAGTCTCATGTTCGGCAGCCAAAACATTTTCCTCCTCTACGATAAGATGGGATATTAAGTTTTCTAGTAGAATTTCTATTTATTTATTTTATTTAGGTATTTATAACATTTATTGGCCGCCCATCTTACTATAGGGTATCTCTGGACGGTTTATAGATGTATAAAATCTAAAACATAAAAACACTAAAAGACAAAACGTTAAAACCAAAGGCACATGAGGAGGGCAGGAGGGGAGCTGGGACCTATTAGTACTCAATCAACCACCTCTAATGCGCTGTTCCCCCATTGCAGTGGTGGGTTTCAAAATTTTTTACTACCGGTTCTGTGGGTGTGGCTTGGTTGGCGTGGCATGGCTTGGTGGGAGTGCCTTGGTGGGTGTGGCAGAGGACGGATACTGTAAAATCTCCATTCCCACCCCACTCCAGGGGAAGGATACTGTAAAATCTCCATTCCCACCCTACTTCAGGGGAAGGATACTGCAAAATCCCCATTTCCTCCCGATCAGCTGGGACTCTGGAGGCAGAGAATAGATGGGGGCCGGGCCAGTCAGAATTTTTACTACCGGTTCTCTGAACTATCCAAAATTTCCGCTACCGGTTCTCCAGAACTGGTCAGAACCTGCTGAAACCCACCTCTGCCCCACTAGGACCCCCAAGCTGACTGGCAAAGCCATGTCTTTAGGCCCTTACAAAAAGATAGGAGGGTTGGGTCCAACCTCACATTGGGGGTGGGGGTGGGGGACACAAGATGTTCCAGAGGGCAGGAACCATAGCAGAAAAGGCCCTTCTCCTAGACCCGTGATGGCGAACCTATGGCACACGTGCCACAGGTGGCATGTGGAGCCATATCGGAGGGCACGCCAGCATTGTCCTAGCTGAGCTCCAGCACGCATGTGTGCCGGTTAGCTAATTTTCAGGCCTTCCAGGCCCACTGGAAGTCAGGAAACAGGCTATTTCCGGCGTCCGGAGGGCCTCCAGGGGTGTGTGGAAGGCTGTTTTCACTCTCCCCAGGCTCCAAGAAAGCCTCTGGAGCCTGGGGAGGGCGAAAAACGGGCCTACCGGGCCCACCGTGCCATCACGTGCCAAAAGCGTGGGGGCATGGGGGGGGCTGTAGTGCATTGAATTATGGGTGTGGGCATGCGGATGTGCGACCCCCCCATGCTCCCCATGCTTTTGGCACATGACGGCAAAAAGGTTAGCCATTGCTGTCCTAGACCCTGCCAGCTGGAATACTTGGGCTGACGGGACCCGCAGCATGCCTCCTCTGCCAGCATGAGTGGGACGGGCTAGTCCCAGTGGGTGAAACGGTCCCTCAAGTAACCTGGATTATCTATTAGTTAATATGACTGCAATTTCTGAGGTTGTGCAGATGAACTGGTGAAGTATTGAGAGAAGCACATAAAAGCTGTCCTCCATGTTTATCTGTGTCCAGGGGTATCCATGGAAAAGGGTCTGATAAATATGACTATAAAAAAAATATGGTTTTGAACAGGCAGTTTCAGCCACCATCTTGATTTTTTTGAACCTCCTGTTACCTCTTTCTATAACCTCAAATCCTGACTCACTCTTATCTCTGCCTTTCCCCAAACTGCAGTTGGATGCCTTGCCTTGTTTCATGCATCTATACATTTAGACGATAATTCCTGTCTGTCTGCCTAGCTCTTCCTTCCTTCCTTCCTTCCTTCCTTCCTTCCTTCCTTCCTTCCTTCCTTCTTCCTCTTCCTTCCTTCCTTCCTTCCTTCCTTCCTTCCTTCCTTCCTTCCTTTTCTCTCTCTCCCTCCCCCTCCCTCCCTCTTCCTTCCTTCCTTCCTTTTTTCTCTCTCTCTCCCCCTTCCTTTCTTCCCTTGCTGCCTCCCTCCCTCCCTCCCTCCCTCCCTTTCTTTCTTTCTTTCTTTCTTTCTTTCTTTCTTTCTTTCTTTCTTTCCTCTATCTATCTATCTATCTATCTATCTATCTATCTATCTATCTATCTATCTATCTATCTATCTAATTTAAAATTGAAAAAAATGTTTAAGGGCAGTGGCATTTGTTATGGACATGCAGACTTATCATCATCCTCTGCAAAATCGGAAGCACCAGACTTTTACCCCAAACTTTTTCTAGCAGACAAGATTGTACATTTTCCAAAAGTGCATAGCCTACATAGCTATCTAGGTCACTGAGATGCTTCTTTATCTGATTCCGACTTGTAATTTAGAAGAACGTGAATACCTGGACTGACAGTGCAGTTGTACGCATACAGCAGTTTTCTTTGGGAAAGTTCATTTATATACAGAACAGCCTTACATTGTCCCAAATCCTGGAAAAAGACACAAGAAAAGGCATCAGTTCCAAGTTGTATTTTAGGGAAAGTCAAAAGGTCTTGAGTAGAAGTTGACTCCTAGCAATGTCTTGGCCACGACCCTGGAAAGTTCTTGTCTGAAAGAAACATGAAGAAAATAGGAAGTGTGCACCTCATGAGCCAAGGCAACACAATGCCAATTCATTAGCTTCCAAATGATTAGATAATGTAATTGAGACACTGAGCAGGGAGGCCTGGTGTGCTGTGGTCTATAGGGCCATGAAGAGTTGTACTTGATTTAGCGACTGAACAACAAACAATAAAAAATACTTCTAAAACATGCAGATGATATTAGAATTAGAATTTTTTTTATTGGCCAAGTGTGATTGGACACACAAGGAATTTGTCTTTGGTGCATAGGCTCTCAGTGTACATAAAAGAAAAGATACATTCATCAAGAATCATAAAGTACAACACATAATGATAGTCATAGGTACAAATAAGCAATCCGGAAACAATATCAATGTAAATCATAAGAATACAAGCAAACAAAATTACAGTCATACAGTCATCAGTGAGAGGAGATGGGTTGTAGGAACGACAAGAAGATTAATAGTAGTGCAGACTTAGTGAATAGTTTGACAGTGTTGAGGGAATTATTTGTTTAGCAGAGTGATGGCGTTCGGGGAAAAACTGTCCTTGTGTCTAGTTGTTCTGGTGTGCAGTGTTCTATAGCGTCGTTTTGAGGGTAGGAGTTGAAACAGTTTATGTCCAGGATGTGAGGGGTCTCCGCTGGGGAGTATAAATGTGGAGCACTTTGGGGCCTCACCCAAGAAAATCCCTTTTCTAAACCTTAGTATTTGTGGGTGGGATTATGTGGCAGTACAAATAATGTGCTAACGTCACATTTCTGTTGGTTTGTGGTTACACAAGCAGGACTTTTCACAGAAGTATACCTCAAATAGTTAATGTTTAGAAAGAATAGAGATGGACATTACTTGCCGTTATACTTAAGAATGGTCGCTGCTCACAGGATGACCAATGTTGTCTGGATATTACAGGACATGGCGTTTCCAAGACATCCAAAGTTAGGTATGCTATGGATGCGTTATTCTGAAGTGGGGGAAAAAAAGAGCAAGATGGAAGAAAAATCAGGCATGTTCTGCTGAAGATGTTCATTAAAAAAAAAGAGAGATAAATTTTCATTTTCAAAAACTGGCTCACCATCTACACACCATCTACACATTATAATGTGGATCTTGAACCACAGCAGTGAAAATCAGTATTGCTGATTTCCAGCAATAAACCAGATAAATCTAAGTGCTAAGAGCTATAGCAACTTAGATTTATATACCACTTCATATTGGTTTACATCTCTCTCTAAGTGGCTTACAGAATCAGCATATTTCCCCCAACCATCTGGGTCCTCATTTTACGGACCTCAGAAGCAGAGGTGGTATTCAGCCGGTTTGTACCAGTTCGGACGAACTGGTAGTGGCGAATGCGGGTGGGGTGGGCCCGCCCGCCCACCTACCTGGACTTAATGCCGTCCTATTTAGCCATGTTTTCAAGGCTGGGTGCATGTGTGGAAGGCATGCATGCATGCAAAGCACATGCGTGAAAGGCTGGGTGCATGTGTGGATGGTGCAGGCAGCGAACCGGTGGTAAGAATATTGGAAACCCACTGCTGCTCGGAAGGATGGAAGGCTGAGTGAAACCTGAGACATTCAGAATCGAACTTCTGAAGTGAGCAGTAAGTTAGTAAATTGCCTGGCCTGTCGGACCTGTAAACATAGTGATTGGACCATGGTCCATTGCCCAAAGACAATGCCCAATTAAGTCCCACCGGACACGAGAAACTCCTTGAGCAAAATCCCTTTATTGATGCACAACAACAGGGTCGCCTCCAAGCAAAGAAGAGGAGCCCCCAACAGCGTCATACATAGCTTTTTTTCATTTTTCACCGGAAACAAGCAAAGTGTTGCAATTGGTTACTTGCTAATGCGCAGGCGGACTTGAGTAATGACATCCCACAATGTTTGTGGTGTGTATTTTAGGATGCTAATGAGACTTTCTGGGGCAAAAGGGCTGCTCTTGAGGCTTTCCCCGAATCTTGCAGAACTTGACACCTGATGCTGCTTTGGCTATTTCGAGTTAACACCTTACTGTGTTCCTTCGTTTTGGGACCTCATCTTCCTGAAATGGTGACCATAGTGGCTGGGACAACATCAGTGGTGGGATTCTACCGGTTCAGACCGGTTTGGCCGAACCAGTAGTTCCCACTTCCTGCCGAGAACAAACCGGTTCTCTGTTGCTGTAAAAGTGGTCCCTCCCGCCCGACCCGGGTTATACCGACCTTTATTTCTGCTTTGAAGCGCAGCTGATCAGGGGCGGCAGATTGAATTTTATTTATTTATTTATTTATTTATTAGATTTTTATACCGCCCCCTCTCCCGAAGGACTCGGGGCGGTGAATTGGCCCTCCTCAGCTGTTTTCCTTGCTCCTTTCCTTGTTTGCAATGTGGAAGCTCAATTTTATGGAAACTGTGCACGCACGCGCTCAGGGAACCGGTTGTTCAACCGGTAGGATCCCACCCCTGAACAACATCCTCTTGAAACTGCAACCAAACTTGTTCTTAATTTTCTCTTCCTTCAGGCCGATGCAATGCAAAGCTCAGCTTTCCAACAGAGGCTGTCTCATGGCAACCAGGTGCTATTCTGTAAGCAGGGACTCTTTTCGCGATCCTGTAAGGGGCACTCTGGTTTTTAAGGAAGCGCCACAGACTCCACGAACTGATGGAGCAGGCCGAGTCCTGCAAATCTTTGGGCTGGCTGAGCGGAAAGCAGGCCTCGGCCTACCACCTGCAACAGCCCCCAATGGACCAATAGCTTCTCATGCCTGGCTTTGGTTTCCCTTGGGTGGCTGAGTGGCTGGATTGGGAGCAGGTGAAGGCACGCAGGGACTCAGAAGACTGGATGGGGGAGATGGGGCGGGTATCGCTGCAGTGTACCTGTGGTTGGTTGTAAAGGTAAACAACTGCAGAGGCACTGCAGAGGCCTTAACTTTGAAACCTGGTTATAAGTAGATTTTGTGAGGGGGGGAGGGTTGTAACTTTGATGTAACTTTGACCGGCCGCTAAGCAACCGGTCGTAAGTCAAAGACTACCTGTATTGTAGTGTAACTGTGATTTTAAATGTGAAAAATGTTAAATAAAAATTATTTAAAAAACAACAACAAAGACTACCTGTATTGTTTGTCCCCCCCCCAAATAGATGGATGGAAAATAAGAGATTCTAGGTTTCTCCGCATTCATTGTGGCATATGTTTATATTTGTACTTCAAAATGAAGCACATTTTAAAATTAAGCCCAAGTAAGTTTATGAGCGCCACCAGTTTTTTTAAAAAAAACATTTTAAAAAAAGTTTTTTTAAAAGTGCCATTTCAAAAAAACAAAAACAAAACCCATAACAACTCCTAAGTGACACAAAGAAGTACTTCCAAAATGATCACACGATGCAGTCAAATAATGATTCACCTGTTTGCGTTAAATCAGAGAATTATGACAGGCATGGACTCCATGCTGGAACAACCAGTGCAGTGGTGGGTTCTAACCGGCTTCACTACCAGTTCTCTTTGTGCATGCGCTTCGCGTGTGATTGCCATTGGGAATCTGCCCAGCTGAGGTGCGGCAATCCACTCAGCTGCCGCACCTATCAGCTGGGCTAAAAAAGAAGAAATAAAAGGTAAGAATAATGCACGGGCGGGCAGGAGGGCCCAGCTCCCGGACAAAGAGAACTGGTTCGGTGACGTCAGATCGTCACCGCTACCTGCTTGGCCGAACCGGGAGGAACCGGGAGGAGCCCACCACTGAACCAGTGAGGAGCCACCCACAGCTGCGGTACTTACCAGGTGTTGGTAATGAGCATCAGCAACCCGGAACAGGGCAAAAACGTAGCCTTCTTTGCGATATTGATTGATTAAATTCAGGGCCACCTCTGCATCCTTCTCTATTCTTGTATCATTGCAGTCTTCAGGGACTATCAGGGCATGGCAGGATGTGGTCCATGCCACAATAAATAGAGCACAGGCTAGCAATTTCATTTGGGCTGTGCGATGGATTGATCCGCTTAAGCCACCGGACTGGAGTTCTTTTGAGCTGATATTAAAAATTCAATTCCATAAACGCGAAGGGATGTTTATTTTTTGGTAGATCTGGTCTCAAGGTTCTTGAACCAGTTGCCTTGATCCCTGGTTAAGCAAAATAAATAGAAAATGAATGATTGATGGAGTAAATAAGGAGGGAAAGGGGATCCAAAATGAGGAAGTAATATTTGAAACAATGGATAAAATAATGTGAAATTCTGACATTGCATAGGGCCGTGATGGCGAAGCTATGGTATGCGTGCCACACGTAGCATGCAACGGCCACTCTGTGGGCACGTGAGCCGTTGCCCAAGTTCAGCTCCACCACGCATGCGTGTGCCTCTCGCCGGCCAGCTAGTTGTCGGGCAGTGGTGAAATCCACTGAAATATTTTTTACTACTGGTTCTGTGGGCATGGCTTGGTGGGCATGGCAGGGGAAGGATACTGCAAAATCTTCATCCCCTCCCCACTCCAGGGGAAGGATATTGCAAAATCTCCATTCCCACCTCACTCTGGGGGCAGCCAGAGGTGGTATTTGCCGGTTCTCTGAACTGCTCAAAATTTCCGCTACTGATTCCCCAGAACCTGTCAGAACCTGCTGGATTTTACCCCTGTTGTCAGGTCTCTTCCGCGCATGCACGGGGGTGGGGTGCATGTGTGGGGGCACGTGTGCATGCGCAGAGGCGGGGCGTGTGCAGGGGCACATGGGTACACATGGTACACATGAACAGGGTGCATGTGCATTGCATTTTGGGGGTTCAGGCACACACGCATGCATTTGTGCATGCATGTGCACACTTTGGACAAGGTTAGCCATCACTGGCATAGGGCAATGATTGTGGGCTACAGGAAGTTAGAGGTAGCTTGCATTGATTCGAAGCTCTCAGTACAGGTAGGCCTCAACATGCAACCACAATTGAGCCCAAAATGTAGGTCGTTAAGTGAGAAATTCATTGAGTGAGTTTTGCCCCATTTTACAACTTTTCTTGCCACATTTGTGAACATAAGTGAACCACTGCAGTTGTTAAATTAGTAACACAGTTATTAAGTGAATCTGGCTCCCCCGTTGACTTTGATTGTCAGAAGGCCATAAAAGGGGATCACATGACCCTGGGACACTGCAACCGTCATAAGTGTGAGTCAGTTGTCAAGCATCCGATTGCAAATCATGTGACCAGGGGGATGCTACAACTGTCATAAGTGTGAAACTTTAATTTAATTTAATTAATTCAATTTATATGCCGCCCCTCTCCGAAGACTCAGGGCGGCCATAAAAACGGTCATAAGTTGCTTTTTTCAGTGCTGTTATAACTTTGAATGGTCACTAAGTGAACTGTAAGTCCAGGACTACCTGTATACAGAATTCTGTGCTAGTTGAACAAACAATGAGACAGTCCAAAGTATGAACTATGGTACTTTTATGCGACTGTTTTTTTCCATGTAAAATTGAAGTTGTCTTGCCAATAATTGACAAAGTCACCACCTTCTCTTAGAATTAAAGACTCATAATTGAGCTTGATGGTGGGACATTAGAGCAGAGGTGTCAAACTCGATTTCATTGAGGGCCGCATCAGGGTTGTGCTTGACCTTGGGGTTCCAGGGTGGGCGTGGTCAGGGTGGGTGTGGCCAGCTCGACGTCACTCGTGTCACGGGTGCCTGTGGTGGCCCAAGCGCTCTGCCAGCGAAAACGGGCTCCCGAACTCCATTTTTAATGGCAGAAGCACTGGGGGCCGATCCTTCGCTGTTTCCAAGGTAGCCTCGTGGGCCAGATCTAAGCACCCCGTGGACTGGATCTGGCCTGCGGGCCTTGAGTTTGACACCCCTGCATTAGAGGCAGAATCTGTACAATGAGTTGCGCCGTAACAATATTTCTTAGTCTTTAACTACTTGGGTTTTTGAGCCATGATTTATGAAGTAGCCTGCTGTGTGCATGCAGCCAATTGCTTATTCAGTACCTCATGATTAAATAATCGATCACTTCCCACAGTATATGAATCCAGACAGTATTTTATTGATGAAAATTCTAACAACAATCTGCAATTCTCCTCGTGTATGGATCTAGACTAACTATGTGCAACTGTTTATCGCTATGTTATATGGTCACCGGTGTGAGACAAATGAGGTTGGCTGCAGAAACATAATGTACATTGAGTTTCCTTAAAAAAAAATTATGTTCCAATGCATTTTTAAAATTTATTTCATTTTTGCATGTCATAGATGTCGTCCATTGATTAACCCAGGGGTGAAATCCAAAATTTTTCTCTACTGGTTCTGTGGGCGTGGTTTAGTGGGCATGGCAGGGGAAGGATACTGCAAAATCTCCTTTCCCACCCAACTCCAGGGGAAGGATACTGCAAAATCCCCATTCCCTCCCCACCCTGTAACCAGCCAGAGGTGGTATTTGCCGGTTCTCCTAACTGCTCAAATTTTCCGCTACCAATTCTCCAGATCCTGTTAGAACCTGCTGGATTTCGCCCCTGGATTAACCCATTTCACATGATGTAGCTCATATATCCATTTGAGTTTGAAATCTCCGATACACAAAGTAGAGAAAAGAAAAAGAATATTTTTTATCTGTATCCAACCTTTATTATTTTTTTACAAATAACTCAAGGCGATGAACCTATCCTAGTTTTCCCCAACAACAATCTTGTGGGAAGATTGTTGGGCTGAGAGAGAGAGAGAGAAAGAGAAAGAGAGAGAGAAGAGAGAGAGAGAGAGAGAGAGAGAGAGAATGACTGACTGACTCAAAGTTGCCCAGCTGGCTTTCATGGCTAAGGTAGAACTAGAATTCACAATTTCCTGGAATGAGACAAATATTTGGGAATAATAACTAGTGTAAAATAAGGGAAGGAGTGGGAGGGAGGTTACTTAGTGCAGGGGTCTCCAACCTTGGCAACTTTAAGACTTGTGGACTTCAACTCCCAGAATTCCTCAGCCAGCTGGCTGAGGAATTCTGGGAGTTGAAGTCCACAGTCTTAAAGTTGCCAAGGTTGGAGACCCCTGACTTAGTGGAAAGATCTATGCAATTAAGTCAAAACTCCTTTGTATTTTCAAGTTAATTAAAACTTTTTGTTAGTATGTTACGAAACATTGCAAACATGGAAACCAAGAAGGTCCTGCCTGTATGGGAAGATTTGATGAGTTCCTACTCGGTTTCAGTATTGTACAGTACATCATTCAGTTTTAGTGAAGTTTTGGCCTATGAAGGTGAAGGCAGTTGAAGGCCATAGATCTCTATTGCAAGGTCTCCTGGGCACGATGGTGATTCTGAAAACTTACTGGGGAAGGGAGGAATGGCTGGCTTGGTTGACTGTATTGACCGAGGACTGGCCTCCAGTTCTGAAGAAGTCAAACTGGATTTAGAGGTTGGTTTGGGCTCCTGGACTTCTGGTAAGGAATGTAGCGGAGACATGCTTGCTTGAAGGAGGATAAATGACCACCCGCCCGAATATTTCCTTCTGGCCTGGTAGTATCTTAGTGATGTTAGCTGAGCGGTGAGGGTAGCGTGGCTCCTGATCTTCATGCTTATGTCCATGATGTTTGTGGTGGTGGGGATGGGAGTGGCGATGATGGTGTCTGCCCTCTTCGTGGTGATTTCTGTGTCTTTTACCGTCATCTTCATGATGTTCCTCCTGCCCAGGTTTAGAACCAGACTGTGGAGTTTGTTCATCTGTAACTGGTGGCTAATAAGACAAAAGATACAGAAAGTGGCTTAGGGAGATGTACTGCTAACTAGAGCATACGAAACATTTGCTAGACCAATTCTCGAATACAGCTCATCAGTCTGGAACCTGCACTGCATATTGGACATTAATACAATTGAGAGAGTCCAGAGATTTTTTATGAGAAGAGTCCTCCACTCCTCTGCACACAACAGAATACCTTATACCACCAGACTTGAAAATTTGGCCTTAGACAACTTAGAACTACGCCGCATTTGGTCAGACCTAAGTGTAGTACATAAAATTATCTGCTACAATGTCCTACCTGTCAATGTCCTACTTCAGCTTCAATCACAACAATACACGAGCACACAATAGATAGAAACTTAAAGTAAACCCTTCCAAACTTAATTGCAGAAAATACGACTTCAGCAACAGAGTGATCAATGCCTCGAATACACTACCTGACTCTGTGGTTTCTTCCCCAAACCCCCAAAACTTTAACCATATCTGGGCCTATAAATTGTGCTTATTTATTTTGTGAAATATTCAAGACAGTTGGTGTTAATAACTTCTCGGGATTCAGCAAGGTGAGATCTTTCCAATTGTATGCTCTCGTGGTACCCTTAATTACCTATGAACTTATTGATCCATTTTTTTTTTAAAAAAAATGGGGGATGGTGTTCAGTTGTATCTATTTATATTTGTTCATTTCATTTCATTATTTTATTATTATATCTCATTTGAGGAGTTATGAAACTACCTCACTTCAGAGGCTTTAGGTAGGAATCCAAAATTGAAATATAATGAAAAGCATTACAATAAAAACAACTAACAGTAAAGTTGTTACGCAGATCTTTTTCTGTCTGCTTAATCAAGCGAGGTCTTAACTAATGATTTTTAAAGCTATTATTTAACTGAGAAATCGATTGGGTAAAGTGTTGGGTAAAGTTCAGTCAATGATTTAAAAAAGTAAATAATGTTTGACAAACTGAGAGAGGGAATATTTTCTGCAGATGATAGCTGTCTGAGCAGGGGTGAAATCCAGCAGGTTCTGACAGGTTCTGAAGAACCGTTAGAGGAAAATTTGAGCAGTTCAGAGAACTGGCAGCGGAAATTTTGAGTAGTTCGGAGAACCGGCAAATACCACCTCTGGCTGGCCCTAGAGTGGGGTGGGAATGGGGATTTTGCAGTATCCTTCCCTGGAGTAGGGAGGGTATGGGGATTTTGCAGTATCCTTCCCCTGGAGTGGGGAGGGAATGGAGATTTTACAGTATCTTTCCCCTGCGAAGCCCACCAAGCCATGCCATGCCATGCCACGCCCACCAAGCCATGCCCACAGAACCGATAGTAAAGAAATTTGGATTTCACCATGTGTCTGAGGAACTTACCAGGTGTGGGAAGAAATGGCATTTTACAGTGACAAATTTCCGATTTTCAATCCTACTATTCACCACAGAGCCTTTGCATAGGCCTGCCTCCTAGAGCAAAAGAGAAATTTTTCATCAAAAAACGAACAAACCCAAAAGGTTTAAGTTGGCCAGATGTTTTGAATATGCAGTGGGACAGCAATACATATTGTTCTTCAGATGTTCTGTATCGAAGGGCCTTCTCTGTTGGCATGCCATTTCTCCTCCTCAAAATAACTGTTTCTGTGCTCCAGGATGGACCTCGCATGGCAAACCCGAATTTTGTGTGCTATGCTTGTTAGAAACAGAAATTCTTTCTTTTTCTCATTTCTTTGGCCTGTAGAACCTGAGCTACATGTGGAATAAAACTGATTCTTAAATGTGAAGTGAAAATACATTTTGTTGGTACTCTTGTACTGCAGGTTATTCCAATGTACATTTCCTGTTCTGTGAGGCTATTCATCAGTTCCTCTCTATTTGTGAACATAACACAATATTTTGGGAACGCCAAAGAATTCTGTTTCCTTTCAAACTGCACTGATCCAACTGTTCTAGGAGTAGCTGAATAGTTTTCTGGAAGACGGAAATATTTTCAGGTGTTACAGAAGTGAAATCATTTTTTTTAATTACTGTATTCCTATTGATATATAATTTTGGTTCTTGAAGAATTGCCCTGGTAAATTATAATGAACATTATGATTTATACATTGGCTTAAAGAATACCAAATGATACTGTATAGATTGAACAGCCTGCTTCCTTGAGTTATGGGTGCTGCATCTCTAGAGGTTATCAAGCAAAGATTGGACAGCCAGTTTTCTAGGGATGGAATGGAACAATCCGTGCGGTCAACTCGTCGTGGCAATCTTGCCATGGTCATCTTTCCTGGACCAGCTCAGCACAGTCATTTCATTACAGCCAACCCACTATGGCCATCTTGTCATGTGACAACTCACCACGGTCAACTTACTACGAGACAACTCGCGGTGGACAACTCCGTGCGGGATAACTCAATGGGATAAATATCAATGGAAATAATGTCAAAGAAACAGTGGCGGATAACCGGTATCATATTGAGCTATCCCATGTGGAATTGTCTGTGGGGCGTTGTCTTGCAGTGAGTTGGCCATGTGAGTTGGCCACAGCGAGTTGTTCTAGATCAGGGCTGTCAAACTCCTGCCCCATGGGCTGGATGCATGATGTGCTGGCCACGTCAACACCCGGTTTAGCAAAAGGGAAAAAAATCCTGATACATCACATGACACCGCCATGACGACGTGAGTTTGACACCCCTGTTCTAGACCCTTGAAGGGACGATATGAGAATTCCTGTGCAATATATACATATTTTTTTCTAATGAAAATAATAAAAGTAAGACATTTTAATTACATTTGAGGTTGCTCTTCTACCCTCTCTTTTCCTTCTTTTCACAACAAACCTTCTTCTCCTTCTTCTTTGTTTCCCCTCCTCTCCTCTTCTACTTTCTTCCTCCTTCTCTCCTCTCCTCCCCTACTTCCCCTTTCTCTCCCCCCACTCCTCCCCTCTTTCCCCCCTTTCTCACCTTCTCTCCTGCTCTTGTCCCCTATCCTTTCTTCCTCTCCTTCCCCTTTCTTCCATTCCTCTCTCTCCCTCTCCTCCGTTCTCCCTCTCCTCCTCTCCTTTCTTTCTCCTTTATGATCAATTATGGATAAGAGAATGTACATTTACAATATGTGTATAAGAAATAAAAATAAAAAAAACTTTTTTTAATTAAAACAAAAAGAGAATCCTGTGGAAGAGGTTCTAACATTATCATTGTCTGGTTCCTGTCCGTCTCTACAAAATCTAATTTTAGATTTAACTTCTTCTGCTTATTCGTTGTGGAATTATTACCGTTTCTTCCATTTCTTTTCAAATAAATTTATTACAGTTATATTAATATCTACCTAACAGTTGTCCTTCATGTAGAATGGTTGGGTTCATACAACATGTTAAATCCTAAACCTAGGCTAACTAAAACTGATTCCTTACTCACACAAGAGGTTATTTCAAATTAATATACTTTAGCATGGCATAAGATGATTACTTGGCTCATGCAACCTATAAGATTAGAGGTGGCTTCCCCCCCCCCATTATTCAATTCCATTTTTTGTTAGATCTGGAAAAAAAATTGTACTGACAATTTTTTTAAAAAAAATTGATTTATATGCCGCCCTTCTCCGGAGACTCAGGGCGGCTTACAATGCGTTAAGCAAATTTTGTGCAAGATGTCTGAATACTCACTGCAGTATTGGGTGGGAGCAGAGGACACTTAGTGACGACCGACACCGGCTGGCTTTTGGGACAAGAGGTCTCATGGATGGTGTACTCCACAAAGTTGGAAGGACCAATAACCCACTGTGAAAAAGTCACAGACAGAAGTTAGAACAGGTTCCACAAGAGTTATGAAAATCAAAGTCTAAGAATTATGGGAATGAAAGTCCTACTGATCCATAGAGCATCAAATTGCAGAATGTCGTGCTCCAAAAAACCAAGAAAGACATGCTAAATAATTTTGAAGATGTTTCCTTTATCATTCCTCACCTAGAGACAGAAATGTTGCCAAACTAAAGCAATTAAGGGTCTGAAGCAGGGGTGAAATGCTCCCGGTTTGGACCGGATCGCCTGATCTGGTAGCGATGGCGGTGGGTGGTTCGGAGAACTGGTAGCAAAAATCCCTGCTCCGCCCCCCATGCCCAGCTGAGCCGCATGCCTAGCTGAGCCTCACGATCATCAGAGGCTTTTTTTTTTAACTTTTAAAAGCATTTTTTCTACAACCTCTTCGGCTGAAAAAATGCTTTTAAAAGTTAAAAAAAAAGCTTCTGATGATCGTGCGGCTCAGCCTGGATCATCAGAGGCTTTTCAAAGCATTTTTTTTCTGCAACCTCTTCGGACGAAGAGGTGGTAAAAAAAATACTTTTAAAAGCCTCTGACGATCCCAGCTGAATTGACTGATCGTCACAGGCTTTTCAAAGCATTTTTTTTACCACCTCTTCAGCTGAAGAGGTTGCAGAAAAAAATGCTTTGAAAAGGTAAAAAAAAAAAAAAAGTTGGCCACGCCCACCCAGTCACATTACCCCCCCACCCCCACCAAGCCATGCTCACAGAACCGGTAGTAACAAATTTTTCATTTCACCTCTGGTCTGAAGACCTGTTTGGCCTAAGGACTCAATAGGGGAATACAGGTAATCCTTGATGTATGACAATTGAGTCCAGCAAGTGAGGCAATTGTTAAGCGAATTCTGCCTCTTTTTATGACTTTTTTTTTGCCACAGTTGTTAAGTGAATCCCTGCCGACGTTAAGTTAGAAACACGGTTCTTAAGTGAATCTGGCTTGCCCATAGAGTTTGCTTTTCAGAAGGTCACAAAAGGGGAATCACATGACTTTGGGACCAGTGGTGGGTTGCTACCAGTTCGCCCCAGTTCTGGCGAACCCGTAGCAGCGGCAGCGGGAGGCTCCACCCACCCTCCCAGATGTCATCAAATACGCTTTGTGGATGTGCAGAAGCTTCTGTGCATGCACAGAAGTGACGTGTGCACGAGCGAACCGGTAGCAAAGGTAAGTAAAACCCACCCCTACTGCAACAATCATAAATATGAGTCAGTTGCCAAGTGTCTGATTTTGATCATCTGACCATGGGGATGTTGCAATGGTCATAAATGTGAAAAATGGTCCTAAGTCACTTTTTTTCAGTGCTGTCGTAACTTTGAACGGTCACTAAATGAACCGTTGAAAGTTGAGGACTACCTGTGCCACAGTGGAAGGGGCTACTTGACTAATCAGCTGACCCCATCTCCTCCCTGTGTTCCTGCTCTCCCTACCCATCTTTTAATTCATATTATTGCCCATTCCGTGTTTATTTTTATTGTTTCATTGCTAGGCTATTGTTATGTTTACATTTTTTATTATTTTTTCTGTTTGACTGTTGTAACTTGGTCAGAGTAGCCTCACAGCAAGATGGGTGGCAAATAAATTTAACAAACAAACAAGGAAATAAATGATTTACATCACTAAATATATTTTTTGAGAAGTCAGAACTCTTTTAACAGTCTCCCATCCAAATATCAACCCAGCCTAACCCTTCTTAGCTAGGTCGGTAGTCTCCTGCCCAATAAATAGCATTGAAGAATACTTGTCCTTAGAACTGGGAATTATGACTGGTGGCTAGACAAACTTGTTTACCAATAAAGCAACTTTTCCTAATTTGATTTTCTACGAAGTTTAGGAACTGTTATTTCCACAATTCTTTGAGTTTTATCCCCAACACATCTGAAGGATGCCAGATTGTGAATTGCTAGGAGAATTAATCTGTTCCATCCAAACCAAGGATACAGCATTGAAGTTTCGGTGTTACCTGTGATCTAGCTTTGGTGACATTGAGGATAGTGAAATAATGAACATGGTTGCTTTCAGCATTGAATTTGGCCAGGCTCTCGGCTGCTGTTTCCCAAAATGTGGCTTCAGAAGGATCTCCAGGAGTTGGACAATCAGGGCAGATTTTTGCCATAGCCGCTGAAGAAACTATAGAGAACGATATAGCAAATATTTAGAATAGTGTTTCTCAACCTTGACAACTTTAAAGAGGGTGGATTTCGACTCCCACTCAGCACTGATGTCTAGGAAATTGTGAGAGTTGAAGTTCACCTGTCTGAAAGTTGCCAAGGTTTAGAAACCCTGAATTAGAAGATTGGTCTAATATAGAATTGGATTTCAGCTCATATATTTAAATGAAAGCACAAACTGAAGTGCAGAGAACTTGGATTTGATTGAAAATTGAGCATCTTTGTCTCTTGACCATGTTACCGTATGAGCTTATTGTCTAAATCAGAGGTGGGGAGTGATGGCTTCTTTATGACTTGTGGACTTCAATTCCCAGAATTCCTGAACTGGCTGGCTCAGGAATTCTGGGAGTTGAAGTCCACAAGTCATTAAAGGAAGGGCCATAGTTCCCCAATCCTGGTCTAAATGGATGATCCAGTCTACAGGTGCTTATCAATTATTTCTTATGTTTTTGAAATCTGTGCTTCTTCCTCAAACTTAGGTACATATAATTGAAAAAAAATAAATAATGCAAAGCCATCTTGAGGAAGTTATAATATGATATAAGAGCCACGGTGGCGCAGTGGTTAGAGTGCAGTACTGCAGGCTACTTCTGCTGACTGCCGGCTGCCTGCAATTTGGCAGATCGAATCTCACCAGGCTCAAGGTTGACTCAGCCTTCCATCCTTCAGAGGTGGGTAAAATGAAGACCCAGATTGTTGGGGGCAATATGCTGACTCTGTAAACTGCTTAGAGAGGACTGTAAAAGCACTGTGAAGCTGTATATAAGTTTAAGTGCTATTGCTATATGTGAAAGCAGGATAATGAACTACATGTTATAGTCAATCTGACTCTGTTTGATTATACACAATAGGCCTTACTGGGCTTCCAAGTCACACAGTGCTTCTTGAATTGAACCTAAAATGTAATCTTGGCTCGAATAGAAGATTTTTAAAAATCTGAATTCCATTCTTGGATTAATTACGAATATTTGTTTCATTGTTTAAATTTGAGGGAGATTTTCAGTTGCTATTCCCCCGCTCGGGGTTTAATTCAGGCATTAGAATTAGATGCAAAGAGACAACACATTTGTTCTGTCAGGATTTTTTTCTGTAGACGTGCAACAAATTTGCACTTTATAAAATTACTGCAATACCACAACAACATGGAGATCATCACGTTTTTGAGTCTGATGGTCTATTTTTCAAACCCAAAAATCTGTTCAGAAATACATCTGTATCAAAGTGCAAAGTGTACAAAATAAAAATGGACAAATAATTCATTAGAATAATAAAAAAAAAGTTGTGAGAAACTACACATGCAAAATGCATGCGAGCCACTTGAAAATTTATAGAAAATGAAATTGAGCCAAATAGCACCTTTGGCTGAGAAATAGAGCAAACGGAAATTCCAGATGTAGCTAAGATATCCTGAAGACAGAAACAAAGTCTTAAAAAATTAATGTCGGGGGGGGGCTTTGCATCTACTTTTTAAATTTCTGTGGGGAAATCTGTTAAACCGCAATTGGCAAGTTATATGTGCTTGGATAGATTTTTCTTGCAAAAATATTGTAGGAAAATATGAAAAATACATACGTGGGCGTAAAACACAGTCATAACTGTACAATCGTGAATGATTTGAATTCTCGTTGAAATGAATTATTACTTTGCATTGGCCATAGACCTGGAACAAGAGAAGGTAGTCTGGGTTAGTGCCACCCATGTTTTTTTACCAACGATTCCATGACACATGATCAAAAACTTATCTTTTTCACACATTAGACTCCAGTTTACATTCCTTCCAAAATGAGGAGAGTCAATTCTTCTATCTTTCTTGTTCTCCACATCTCTACAGTCCCTACATTTCTTCCTGCAATTTTGTACAACCCTGGGGTGGGTTCTACCTACCTTTACAACTGGTTCGCATTGTGTCCGCACGCCCTCTTCTGCGCATGTGCAGAAGCTTCTGCATATGCGCAGATCACTTCTGATGATATCCGGGTTAGTGGGCGGAGCCTCCTGCTGGTTTTACTACCGGTTCTTGCAAACTGGTCTGAACTGGGGGCAACCGACCACTGGTACAACCCCATTTATACTATGGATCAGAAGTGGCAGCTCACTGCAAGGAATGATCGTGTATGTGCACACATGCTAAGGGGAACCAATGGAAAGAGCAGAGAAGTGGTGAAGGATATTCCAAAGAGACATGTTTGTTGTGATACGACAAGTGGGTAGAGTGACAGCCTCAACCTCCTTTGCAAACCAGTTCAAAACCCAGATCTGACTTCCTTCCAATCCCAGTTGGTAGTTTTTTTAAAAACTTAAGTAGATCTGTTACTTACTGTCTCATGTGCATCTCTAATTTTGCATTCTTTCCATAATTTTCTGCTCTGGACATGGCATTCAGTTTCTAATACATCCAAGGTGATGTAGAAAAGCAAACCACCCATCCACTATGGACAAACAAAAGGAAAACTTTTGAAAAGGCAAAGCAATGTGTCAATCACCATAAGTACATTAGGTAAAAGTAAAGGTTCCCCTTGCACATATGTGCTAGTCATTCCCGACTCTAGGGGGCGGTGCTCATCTCCGTTTCAAAGCCGAAGAGCCAGCGCTGTCCGAAGACGTCTCCGTGATCATGTGGCTGGCATGACTAAACACCAAAGGTGCATGGAACGCTGGTACCTTCCCACCAAAAGTGGTCTCTATTTTTCTACTTGCATTTTTTAAGTGCTTTCGAACTGCTAGGTTGGCAGAAGCTGGGACAAGTAACGGGAGCTCATCTCATTACGCGGCACTAGGGATTCGAACCGCTGAAATGCCGACCTTTCAATTGACAAGCTCAGCATTTTAGCCACTGAGTCACCATGTCCCTTATAAGTATGACTGTAATTTTGTTGCTTGTATCCTTACGATTTATATTGATATTGTTTCCTGATTGCTTATTTGTACCCTATGACTATCATTAAGTATTGTACCTTATGATTCTTGATGAATGTATCTTTTCTTTTATGTACACCGAGAGCAGAGCATATGCACCAAGACAAATTCCTTGTGTATCCAATCACACTTGGCCAATAAAAAATTCTATTCTATTTTATTCTATAAGTACATTACATGGAATTAAATTAATCTTCAAAACCTCATTTAGAAAAAGATGAGAATTCAGCTCACTTTCACTCAGTGTCAGGAAACCAACTACTCTTCTGTTGGAACCCAGCAATGTCTGGTTAGAAGATGAGCAAGGATGGTCCATGGGATATAGAATCACTCATCTGGATCTGATTGTAATGGAGATTGATTTTTTTCTTCTTCTTTAACTCCCATGTGGAAGAGATGGGATCATAAACTAAGTTCCTGAAGGGAAAATGTTAATCCTGTACAACCTGCACACGATCATCCAAGTCCAAAATATACATTATGTAACACCAAAAGAGTTGGTTGGATGCCACAGAAATGCCATTACCTTACTGGATGACTAGCAGATAAAGCAAAGAATTGGGTGGCAATGAATAGCTGTCTGTTTTTTTTCTTTTTTTACCAGTCCAGATAGACCTAGTTTAACAGAACATCTTTAAAGATGGATGCTATCAAATTGAAGGATAGAAAAAAGTCAATAGAAGAGGGAGATCTTACCTGGAGTATTTCATGGACATCAAAAATCCGCTGGAGGCCAAGAACGTAGCCTTCTTTCCGATGTGCATTGAGTTTGTTTAGAGCCACTTCTGTAGCCACCTTTACCTCTGAAGAATTGCATGTTGGGGGAAGAAAGTGAAAAGGTGGAGAAGTAACTACCAAGTGAAGCATCTGAATGCCGATGAAGAAGGAAATCAGAAGAGACATTTTGGAAACGTTTGAAGAATCAGAGAAGACAGCAATTGGAGCCAAGCTGGGAGGACAAGGCTAAGAAAGATCTTCACCTTTCTTTATATACTTTAAATCAATAGCTAATATTTGTTTTTTCTATCTCACAGTGACCATCAACTTTGAACCTCAACATATACATTATAAACACTGAGTCAATGATTAGAAGTCTATAAGTTTGCAGAATGGCTCTCACTAAGCAACAGCCAAGTGGTTGGATTTAAATCACTGCATCGAAAAACTATGTCTGCCTTCAATTAAAAATGAGATGTAGGACCCAGTAAAGTTGACTCACCACTAGAACAAAAATACAGGTAGTCCTCAACATACGTCCACCATTGAGCCTAAAATTCCTGTTGCTAAGCGAGACAGTGGTTAAATGAGTTTTGCCCCATTTTTATGACTTTTCTTGTCACAGTTGTTCAGTGAATTACTGCAGTTGTTAAGTTAGTAAGACAGTTGTTAAATGAATCTGGTTTCCCCATTGTCTTTGCTTGCCAGAAGGTCACAAAAGGTGATCACATGACTCTGGGACACTGCAACTGTCATAAATATGAGTCAGTGGCCAAGCATCTGAATTTTGTTCACATGTCCACAAGGATGCTACAATGGTCCTAACTCTGAAAAATGGTCATAAGTCACCTTTTTCAGCGCTGGTGTAATTTCGAACTGCCACTACATGAACTGTTGTATGGCGAGGACTACCTGTAGTCTTTCTGGTTATCATAATTTATTTTTATTTTATATTTATATATCCAACATCTTAACCATAAGGTGACCAATCGTCCTCCTTTAAGGGAGGACAGTCCTTCTTTTCTAAATTCTGTCCTCTCTCGAAAAGTGTCCTCCTACATGTCCTCCTTTTTGATATTTGAAGACTAATCTGTAAATCTCCATATTCGATCGATGCTGAGCCGATCCGTTGCGTGTAATGTGACATATTTGTATTTGACATGACGATTCGTCAAGGCTCGGTACAGTGCAGCGAGACGCAATTATGAGACGTATGCGCTCCGCACAGGATAATTGTTTTGAGAGAATGCGCTGTGCGCAACAGTGCGCCGCACTCTTTGTTTACTTCTGAATGTATTTTTAAATTCTGAAAAATTAATACAATGGGAAAATAAACACATTGAAATTGATAAAAGATGGGTGGAAATATTCAGCCTTTTCAAAAATGAGCGTATTCCATTTGAAAATTTATTTGTTCTTGTTCAATTTACGTTGTGCTGTCCTGGAACTAATGTAGCAGTTGAAAGGGTTTTTTCAATTGCTAATGATTTTTGGAAAAGTGAGAAATCGAGATTGGATGTTGAAGAGCCTTGGTGGCGCAGCAGACTAAAGTGCTATTAAGTAGCACCAACTGCCTGCAATTACTGCAAGTTCAAATCTCACCAGGCTCAAGGTTGACTCAGCCTTCCATCCTTTCGAGGTAAGTAAAATGAGGACCCGGATTGTGGAGTCAATAAGCTGACTTTGTATAAAAAAGAACACTGCTTGGGGGCGGGGGGGGGGGTGAAAGCCCTATTAAGAAGGTATATACAAAAGTATGAAGGCTATTGCTTAACGCATTGTAAACCGCCCTGAGTCTCCAGAGAAGGGCGGCATATAAATCGAACCAATAAATAAATAAATAAATACTCTAGCTCAGCACTTGCCGTAAAATTCAATATGAAGGATATTTCTTGTTCAGATATTTCCAATATATTGTTAGAAGATGATACACTGACAAAAAATATTCATTCAATGGAAAAGTATTCACTTATATAATAATTAATAGGCATGTAAGCATAATTATAATACAAAATGTTATTGTTACAAATGTTTTTTATTATGCATTTATCATATTATAGTGTATTCTGTATTACTGTTGCAATGAATAAAATGTTTCTTTTATTTACGATATTTTTTTCTTCAATTTATTTGTGTCCTCCTTCTCATTGTAAAAAAGTTGGTCACCTTATTAACCACCCATTTCCTTCATAGAGGAAAATCATGTTAGAACTGTGATCTTTCCCAGAGTCCAGATGTTTTAAAAAGAAATGAAGGTTTCTCATCGCTGCTGCAAATAGGCAGAGACCAGACTAAATTCCACCCAGTTGCAGAGGAGTGGCCCATTGTATTTCTCCCAACTGCTTTGATTGAGGTGGGAGAACATTCTCGGTAGGACAGGTGGACTGAAGTCCAGAGACCTTGTTTTTCGGTCATTGGGATAGCCCTACAAAATGGCCTCCCACGAGAAGTTCAGTGGGTTCAAAATGGCTTCCTAGGACAAGTTCATTGAGTTCAGCGGAGGAGTGTACAGGATACTGTTTTGGATTGCAAGTATATTTTTCTTTTCTTATATATTCTTACATCATTATTCTCTGAGATCCTGAGAATGTCATATATTCAATGAATGATTGGTGCAGAAGCTTCCAAATATCCAGAATTAACCCTTCATGAAGGGCGCTTGTGACAATATTAGGTAACCAATGGTCAAGAGAGATCATGGGTCTTCTTCACTGCATATATTCAAGAAAAATGTAGAGGATTTTTTTTTCCTGGGATGCCGTAAATGGGATTCTTGCACTAAGCCATGAGTTGGACCAGTGGTCTCAATCAGTGTGTTTTTCAACCTTAGTTGGATGTGTGGACTTCAATGCCTTGATAGTACAGTGGTTTAGTGCACCCTGTTATTAACACAGCTGCCTGCAATTTCTGCTGGTTCGAATCTCTCCAAGGCTCAAGGTTGACTCAGCCTTCCATCCTTTCTAAGGTAGGTGAAATGAGGACCCAGTTTGTGGGGGCAATAAGCTGACTTTGTATAAAATATATAAAAGAATGAAGGCTATTGCTTAACGCATTGTAAGCCGCCCTGAGTCTCCGGAGAAGGGCGGCATATAAATCAAATTAAAAAAAAAATGCTCAGAATTCCCCAGCCAACATGCAAACCCTGTGATCTGTCCCCGTACCCACACACACACCAACACAGCCAGTCGAGGGTTAAGGAAACACTTTGGAACGCACCCAGGTCTTATCTCCCACTTGGCAGCGATAGACACACCGTCTGCCAAGTGACTTTATTTTCAAAGTAAAACAGAAAGATAAATACTCAAGAGTCCAAATGTCCGACACTTTAAATCTTTCTCTCAGCAGTTCCGGACGAGGCTTTAGTGACTATCTAAGGTTTGCTTTGTTCGTCACAAGGATCCTTGACCACCACCCTCTATTATATAGTCTCTGGGGTGTGGTCCAGTGACTCAGTTCTAATCCCTAGCACGCCTCCTAAGCTGCTGCAAACGTTTATCACGCCTTCGGAGGCGTGCGTCCAGGAATGATGTTTCTTCATCACTCTGATCCGAACCAGCTGTCTCCTCTCCCTCGGCCGGCACTTGAGACAATGCCAGAGGGGAGGGGCCTGGAGAGGGAGGCCTGGCTGACTCCTCTTCCTCATGCTCGGAGCTTTCTTCCTCCGATGGGACAGGCTCAGAGGGCGGGGCCACAATACCCTGGTCTCCTCTTAACACTTTGTAATATTGTCTACTTTGCTGTATTTTAGGCATCTTATGAGAAGTATCTCCATTCTCCATTCTTTTCGCCGTGCCCTTAAAACTTTTTTATTTCATCCAGCTGGGCTGGCTTGAACCCCCCCCCCTTAGACATTTTTAATTATTAATTGATTTTAGTTGGGTGTTTTAAATTTTATATTGGGCCAAAACTTGTTTAATTCTTTTAAAATTAATCTTAAATTTTGTATGTGATGTTTTTATTCTTGGCTGTTCACCGTCCTGAGTCCAGTAGGAGAAGGGCGGTATAAAAATCTAATAAAATTAAATAAATAAATAAGTAAAGAAATGTTTTGGATTTCTATACATCAAATAACTTCTACTAGCCAAATTCAAAAAGCATTTACTCCGAGCTCTGAAACATCCACGGAAAAATCAGGTGTCCATAACTACTATAAATATATTTATGAGAATGTTGAAAACTACTAGTGATCTTAATTTTTCTGCTCCTTGTAACAGGAAAAATGCCTGGCATTCTCCCAGGGTCTTCTGCATAGGAAGTGTTATTTGTTTCAAAAGAATAAATGAAAAAAATAATCTGAGTTTTGAAATAATCACTACCAAGTCTTGTAGCATGGTTTCTTTTATTGAATGTTTTTAATATTTCCTTGAACAGAGAAGCAGTTGCTATTCTTGTGATAGGAAGGGAGGGGGGGGAAGGAGGACAGATTCCTGAATAAAGTTTTCAGTGCTGTACATCACTCTCTGTTGGGGAAATTTCAGCGTGTAGTGGTGAAGGTAGTTGAAGACCAGGGATCTCTATTGCAACCTCACCTGGGCATGAAGCTGATTGTGACAACCTTTTGGGGAAGGGAGGAATGGTTGACTTGGTTTCCTCTGGTAGAAAAGTGGAGCTAACTTCTGGAACATAGGTGCTCCAAGGATAATCAGTCACTTCTGTCAATGGTGGTTCTTCTGTGGCATTAACATGAAGATGGTGTAGCTCTTGGTGTTCAGACCCAGACCCAGACTGTGATTAGACAAAAGATACCAAAAAGTGGTTCAGGCAATTGACCATTATCAACATTATAGATTTTGTTAACTTATTTTGTGAAATGTTCAAGACAGTTGAGGTTCATAAATTCTGTTCTCTAGATGCAGCAAAGGGAGACCTTTCCAGCTGTACTTCCTCACAGGTAGACCTTAATTATTGTCAGTCTTTGCTAGGAGGATGGACAAGAAACACACCCAGATGAGCCAATTCTGCTTTGTTGTGTGGATACATTAAGAAAATCTTGCAAACCTGAAGGTACAATAGCCCCACCTCCTTTACACCCCAAGAAACTAGTGAGGGTACCTTCTGAGCTTCTTTCTCCATCCATTATGGAGCTGCTGGCTATCTGTCCTAGTGGCGCAGGTTAAAGTGCAGAATTGCAGGCAAATTCTGCCCACAGTCTGGAGTTTGATGCTGGCAGGGCTCAAGGTTGATTCAGACTTCAATCTTTCAGAAGTCGGTTCGCCTGATACACCAGTTGCGCCCCTTTCTAGATCGGGACTCCCTATGCACAGTCATTCAGGCACTCGTCACTTCCTGCCTGGACTACTGCAACACTCTCTACATGGGGCTCCCCCTGGGGTGCACCTGGAGGCTCCAGCTGGTCCAGAACGTGGCCGCGCGGGGGATTATGGGGGCGACGAGGTGCTCCCATGTGACTCCTCTCCTGCGCAAGCTGCACTGGCTCCCGGTGGTCTTCCGGGTGCGCTTCAAGGTGTTGGTGACCACCTTTAAAGCGCTCCATGGCTTAGGGCCGGGGTACTTACGAGACCGCCTTCTGCCACCAATAGCCTCCCACCGGCCAGTATGCTCGCACAGAGTGGGCCTCCTCAGGGTGCCGTCCGCCAGACAATGTCGGCTGGTGACCCCCAGGGGGAGAGCCTTCTCTGTGGCGGCGCCCACCCTCTGGAACAACCTCCCCCCAGAGATACGTACAATAACAGACCTCCGGATTTTTCGTCGGGCCCTGAAAACCTATTTATTTCAACTAGCTGGGCTGGCTTGAGCTAAATTTTAAATTGATTTTAAATTGGGTTGTTTTAATTTATGGCTAAAATATTTAATTATTTTAAACTGTTTTTAAATTTGGTATGTTCTGTTTTTTACTTTGGCTGTTCACCGCCCTGAGTCCTGTTTGGAGAAGGGCGGTATAGAAATGGAAACAAATAAATAAAATAAATAAATAAATAAATAAAATGATATTGTTGGGGGCAATATGCAAATAATGTTTACATTATAAACTGCTAAGAGAGTGCTGTAAAGAACTATGGGACGATATATAAGCCTAAATGCTATTGCTATTGCTCTCTTTGTACCACATACATTTACAATTACCTATGTACTTCTTTCTCTACTTATTTAATTGTGAGAGGGATGTCATCCGACTGTTGCTAATCATTTCATTGCATTACTGTATTTTAGGTGTTATAAACTTCCTCACTCCAGAGGCTTTAGGCAGAATTTAAGATCGAAATATAATAAAGATCATTATTAAAATAATGGCATCACACAAAAATCTTATTAAGCAGATTTTCATCTGCCCGCTTAATCAAGTCAGGTCTTAAGAAGTGATTTATTGAGTTATTATTTAACTGAGAAATCTGTTGGTTTGCTGGGTTGAAGTCCAGTCAATGTGTTTTAAAAAATAAATGATGCTTAACAACCCAGGAATAAATATTTTCTTCAGATGATAGCTGTCCGAGGAACTTACCGGATGTGGAAATAATTCGCAAGTTGCAGTGACAATTTTGGGAGTTTCATCCCTTCTGCCTATCACAGAGCCTTTGCACAGGCCTCTCTCCTAGAACAAAGGAGAAAGTTTCCATCAACAAAATTCAAGAAATTTAATCTGCCACGATTTGTAATATACAGTGAGATAGCACTGGATATGGTTGATCAGATATTCTGTATCAAAGGGCTTTCTCCATTTCTCCCTGTGGTTGACATGCCATTTCTCATCAGAATGACCATTTCTGTTGTCCCAATAGAGGAGATGGAGCCTCCACGGGAAAACTGAATTCTTCTGCTATGCTTTTTAGAATTTTAAAATCTTTCTTAGCATGGTCATCAAGCCATTCTATGGATTTCTTGAAGTCGGTTTTCCAGAATAGGAAATGCGTTTTGGTGTTTCGGATATTAATTTTGCTTTTTTAATAATTATATTGCTATAATTATCCCTAGTCCCTAGTCCCCTGCGAGTCCTTTGGACTGCAAGGTGATCAAACCGGTCAATCCTAGAGGAGATCAACCCTGACTGCTCTTTAGAAGGCCAGACCCTGAAGATGAAACTCAAATATTTTGGCCACCTAATGAGAACGAAGGACTCACTGGAGAAGAGCCTAATGCTTGGAAAGATGGAGGGCAAAAGAAGAAGGGGACGACAGAGAATGAGGTGGCTGGATGGAGTCACTGAAGCAGTAGGTGTGAGCTTAAATGGACTATGGGGGATGGTAGAAGACAGGAAGGCCTGGAGGAACATTGTCTATGGCGTCACGATGAGTCGAACATGACTTCACAACTAACAACAACAATAATTATATATTCTTTGATCGTTGTAGAATTCTCCTACAAAATTTTACAAATTGATAACTAACTTTATGGTTCATGGGTTGGCTTGGAAAATAATGAATTACTATGTCTGAATTCAGATGCAAACTAACTGGAACAGACCTCTTCCTTCATTTGTTAAAGGCTTATTTAAGGTTGGAAAGCCAATTTTTTGGGGGATGATAAAATTATTCCAGCTAGGAATAGAGTTTGTTTGGACCAGAATACCACCAATGTCCATTCCAACATGACTCTAATTCCTGCTCACCATTTCTAGAAAGGGGACATGTAGAATATGTCCTTAGGTTGAATGGTGAAAGCAATGGTCTGAGAGTAGGTTTAGATATTAGCCTCTTCTGATGCTTCAATGTGGTTCATTATTTACTTGTTTATTAAATTTATATGCTGCTCATCTCAGTGTCCTGAGTGACTGTGGTGGCTTACAATAGAATAAAAACATAGGAATAAACACATTAAAATCAAGATCAGTGACAATGAAATAAGAGTTAAAACCAAGAGCACCAATGGTACAGGGGTGGACTTTTGTCTCTCATTCAATCAACCTCCATTGTCCCCACATTTATTCTTTGTATGTTTAGATAGATTTATTATAGCTAATATGAGTGTCTGCCTCCCAGTTGTTCTTCATTTGCTAACCTGCTAAACACATTGATGAATAAAAGAACTAAAGAAGAAATTGCTCAAGGAGAGAAGCAACCTAGAACGAAGGAGAAATTCCCTGACAATTAGAACAATTAATCAGTAGAACCACTTTTCCCAGAAATTATGGGTGCTCCACCACAGGAGGTTTTTAAGAAGAGATTGGACAACCATTTGTCTGAAATGGTATAGGGTTTTCTCCCTGAGCAATGGATTGGATTAGAAGGCATCTTCAAACTCTGTTGTTCTGTTCTGTTCTGTTCTGAGTAGTGTAAAATTTGGTTCTTTAGAAGGCATGTTTTGAATCGTGATGCCAAGCTAGGTTTTATGCAAGATTGTGAATACTTACTGCAGTTTCAGTTGAGAGGAGAGAGCATTGAGTGATGTCAGACACTGGTGTACTTTTATGACAGGAAGTCTCGTGGATGGTGAATTCTATAGCGTCCAAAATACCATGAACCACCTATAGAAAGTCATAAACATTTAGAGTATAGGTCACATTGTCTGCAGGAAATGTTCCTCATAATCTTGGGTGCCCTATCAATCTTTATTAACCTGAAGCCTTACAGAGACCCCCCCCCCATAATTCTTGGCACTAGGACAGGGATCAGGAACCCGCAGCTCTGGAGCCGCATGTGGCTCTTTTATCCCTCTGCTGCGGCTCCCTGTCGCCGGTCAGCTCCACAATTGATAGGGCTTTTGGTTAGGACAGGTAGAGGAAAAAGGACGCCATGCTAGGAGGAGACTCTATGGTGGGGGAACCGGACTTCCGGTCAGTTCCAGAATTGATGGGGGGCTTCCGGTTAGGACCTTTGTGGCTCTTTGAGTGTTTAAGGTTGCCGACCCTTGCACTAGGAGAACTGGTAGGATGTCAAATGTTGTTATCAAGAAGAGGACACAGACACATTCAGTAATCAAGTGGAACATTGTAGAAAGATCAGAGTCCCATCCACGTGGGAAATCGGACGTTCCTGGGAAGGCCTCTGGCAGATTAGCATTTTCTTTAAGTCAGATTTCTGCAGACTTTGCGAATCTGTCTATTCACTTCCTTTGGCAATAATGTAGAAATCCGCTGCCCTCTGCTGGAATTATTTCTATTATTTTTCATTCCTACATTTCGCAGAAACCCTGGGTTCTGTAGCAGTCTCTATACAAATCAAGGATACAGCATCAACTTTCTTGCTCAAAAATATTCCACCTCAACTTTACCTGTGAAGTTGCTTTGGTGACTTTAACAATGGCAAAATAACGATCGTGGCCATTTTCAGCATTGAATTTGGCCAGGCTTTTTCTTGCTATTTCCAGATATATGTCTTCAGAAGGATTTTGGCGAATTGGACAGCCAGGGCAAGCAGGAGACGAATCTTTAGGGGGGGAAAGTATCATTTAAAAAATTGAGACAAGGCATTTGAAATATGAGCTTGTATGTTTAAATGACCTGAAATCTGAAAGTTTCTATCAGCTTGAAAATTAAACATCTCTCTCCATGCTGCATTTAGTCAGGGCCATAGAACTGCAGAAAAAACAATTGCTACCAACCTGCCTTCCATTGAGGACCTGTATACTGCATGAGTCAAAAAGAGGGCTGTGAAAATATTTACAGACCCGTCGCATGCTGGACATAAACTGTTTCAACTCCTACCCTCAAAACGACCCTATAGACCACTGCACAACAGAACAATTAGACACAAACAGAACAATTAGACACAAGGACAGTTTTTCCCCGAACGCCATCACTCTGCTAAACAAATAATTCCCTCAACACTGTCAAACTATTCACTAAGTCTGCACTACTATTACTATTAATCTTCTCATCGTTCCGATCACCCATCACCTCCCACTCATGACTGCATGACTGTAACTTTGTTGCTTGTATCCTTACGATTTATATTGATCGTTTCCTAGTATGAATTGGCTGCTTATCTGTACCCTATGACTATCATTAAGTGTTGTACCTTATGATTCTTGATGAATGTATCTTGTCTTTTTATGTACGCTGAGAGCATATGCACCAAAGACAAATTCCTTGTGTGTCCAATCACACTCGGCCAATAAAGAATTCTAATCTAATCTAATCTAATCTAATCTAATCTAATCTAATCTAATCTAATCTAATCTAATCTAATCTAATCTAGCTGTTTTGCAACCTGACACAACGGTACAGAATCAGTGAGGCCTGTCTTTGGGAAGGGTACAATTCTGAAGGCAGGAACCAACAGAAGAGAATATCTGTAGCTCAGGATTGGACTGTGGAGTTCTTGGTGCTCTCTCAACTTGGTGGCTTTGCTTGTAAATGGTTTGTTACCTAAGACCATCTCTGCCTCCTTGTGCCAATCAGCATCTGACCGGAACCTCCAAAAGCAAACTCAGTTCAGATTTCCCCCCCTTCTGTTTAATTGTGTCTGATTCTGGAGACTTCCTGGATAGGACCCTACAATTTTCTTGTCAAAGGTTTTTCAGAAGTGGCTTCCCATTATCTCCTTCCTACAGCTGAGAGAAAATGACTAATCCAAGGCCACTGCTGGCTTCATGGGCAAGGTGGGACTAGAATTCCCATTCTCCCAGTTTCTAGCTGGATGCCATAACCACTACAGTAAACTGGCCGTCAATCTGGAATACTTTTTTCTCTTATGATATAATGAGATTCTAGAACCGTGATGGCGAACCTATGGCACGCGTGCCACAGGTGGCACGCAGAGCCATGTCACCTGGCACGCCAGCTCAGCTCCAGCATGTGCCTTCTGGGCCCATCAGAAATAGGGAAACAGGCTGTTTCTTGCCTCCGGAGGGCCTGGGAGGTGGGGTGGGGAAGGCCCGTTTTTCTTTCTCACTTGGCTCCAGATCCTCTCTATGCATCTGGGAGGGCGAAAACAGCCTTCCCCATCCCCTTGGAGGCTTGAAACGGTCCATTTTCCAACTTTCGGTTGGACAGGAAGTGACTTTTTTGCTGTTCCCAGCCTCCAGAGAGTCCTAGAGCAGCTCTGGAGGCTGGGGACAGCAAAAAAGTCACTTTCTGTCCAACTGAAAGTTGGAAAACAAGCCGTTTCTGGCCTCTGGAGGGTCTCTGAGGGGGCGGGGAAGGCTGTTTTTGCCCTCCCCAGATGCATAGAGAGGATCTGGAGCCAGGTATTCTGTCCCCGTCCCCACACACACACAAACAGCCAGCCAGGGGTTAAAGAAATACTTGGCACACACAAGGTTCGTTATCAGGAACTTGGCAGCAATACGATAACCGTCTGCCAAGTGCTTTACTACAAGAAGAGGGAGTGTTCCTCCACCAGATAACACCAACGAATACACACCGTTTTCAAAACAGTCCAGCTCAAACATGAAACCTTCAGCAGATTTGGCGTTGTACAAAGTGACTAGCCAGAAGTTAGCTTTGTCCATCACAGAGTCTAAATGGCCACCACACTCTCTTATATAGCCTGTGGGGTGTGGTCCAGTGACTCAGCTTAATCCCTGGCACGCCTCCTCATCTGCTGCAAACGTTTATCTCGCCTTGTTGGCATGGATCCAGGAACGACTTATCACCCTCATCGCTGTCATCGGAGACACCTGGCTCTGGTCAATCTCCTCTCCCTCAGCAGACACCTGAGGCATTGCCAGAGAGGAGGGGCCTGGAGAGGGAGGCCTGGCCGGCTCCTCTCCTTCATGTTCGGAGCCTTCTTCCTCCGATAAGATAGGCTTGGAGGACGGAGCCACAACACTAGGTGAGAAAGAAAAATGGGCGTACTGGGCCATCACCTGCCAGGAGCGGGGGGGAGAGGAAGGGGGGTCACTCGCGCATGCATGGGGTGGGGCGCATAGAATTATGGGTGTGGGCACGAGCGCACACGAACCTCCCCCGCCCCCCTTCCTGGCACGTAACGGCAAAAAGGTTAGCCATCACTGTTCTAGAAGATAATACCATTTGATAATGAATATGCCAAAACTGAAGTAACTGTTATTCCATGATCAATTAACACCTGATGAAGGAGATGCCTCTTTATCTAAAATTCAGAAATCATTTGCAACAACTTCTAGTTCACACAATTCACTTTCTTGCTGACAAAGCCATGTTGGTAAAACTTGAATCATGCATTAATTGCCAAGGTTCAATCTCATGTATTGAATTGTGTATGAATCAAAGCAGGTTGTTTTGCAAAACAGACTGAGACATAATCAAGTAAAAGAGCCTTGATAGTACAGTGGTTTTAAAAACCTAAGTAAGAAACAAGAGTATATAGTAGTTGCTTAGCAATTTTTGCTCATTTCTCAAAGTTCACGCTTCTTCTAAACATTTGTACTCATAAATTTATTATGAAAGGTCAGCTTTGGAAAGTTACAATATGACACAATAAGTAAAATAATCTATAGTGAGAAATAACTTGTCAAAGTTAATATACCTTTCAACAACAGCCCTTGTTAGAAAATAATATCTTATACTAAGAAAAAAATGCTGGTAGAAAGTGCACACAGAAAAAAGTGTGTGAAAAATGCATAATTTTGCAATAAAAATACAAAAGGAAATTGGGCCAAACTCTATCTGTGGTTCAGAAATGGAATAAAATGAAATTACAGATTTAGCCTAAGATACCCGCATGAATGAAACTCTAAAATTTAATTTTGGGGCTTCTGAATCTACTTTTTAAACTTAGTTAAAAAGGGGATATTTGTAAAATTGCAATTGCAAGATATATATGCTTGGATAGATATTTTTGGCAAATTTACATGCAGCAAACATGGAAAATACATACGAGGGCGTAAAATGCAGTCATTTTTGTACAGGAACGAATCATTTGTATTCCTGTTGAATTTAATTATTGCGTTGCATTGGCCAAAGACCTAAAACAAGAGAAAGTAGTTTGCATTAGTGCCACCCTTTTCTTTTACCAATGATTCCATTTACACGTAATCAAAAGTTGTATCATATCCACATCTTAGATTTGGAATGTCATTATCCTTCCATAATGTTTTCTACACCTCTACAGCACCTACATTTCTTCCTGTGATTTTGTACAACCTCACTGTCTGTTTTATTGCACTGCAGAATGTATTTGGGGTTACAAGGAAACGCTCATTTGTGCAGCACCGATGATCAATCCAGCAGACATGTTCTCAATACCACCTGATCTACTTCCTGCTTTAGACCAAACTTGAAAGGCCAAAGGCTAAAAGTATTCTCTCTGAAAATTCGTATACTTTTAGGGGGATTCAGAGAGATGGCAAAGTGTCAGAAAAGGAGAAGAAAAATGCCCAACCTTAAACGTGATGTGAATGCTTTGTTTGACAAAGGACTGGGAGGGGAAGCGGGGAGAAGATGGGGCCACCTGTGGTACCAAAAAGGGGGTCATTAAGAAGTAGTCCAAGAACTGCTTCCTCTCCTTTCAGGGTGCAGACATGGAAGAACCAGTTTAAGTTGCAGAATAAAGTATTCGGAGAACCTTTCTCAAGTGTAAGAACTGTGGGACAGCAGGACTGGCCTGCCAAGAGAAATTATGAGCTACCTGTATTTTTCGGAGTATAAGATGCACTCCCCCCATAAAAGAGGATGAAAATTTGGGTGCGTCTTATACTCTGAATGTAGCTTTTTTGAAGTATTTTTTCCAGCCCTAATGAGGCGCTAGCGAGGGAAGCGATCTTCTGGGCTTTGTCTGCTTTTCTCATTGTTTCTCTCTCCGAAGATCAGCTGTGCTTTAGAAGCTGTTTTTTTATCCTTAACGAGGTGCTAGTGAGTGAAGTGATCTTCCGTGCTTCACCTGCTTTTCTCATTGCTTCTCTCTCTGAAGATCAGCTGTGCTTTAGAAGCTGTTTTTTATCCCCAACCCAGTGTGCGCGTGCTGAAAACCAGCAAACTAATGTGCTAAAGCTGACCAGACTAAGGACGCTAGCCAGATGAATATCTGGTAGGCAGATTCTCCCCCCCCACCCTATTTTCCTCCCCAAAAACTAAGGTGCATCTTATACTCCAGTGTCTTATACTCCAAAAAATATGGTATTTTTTGAGTTCCTGTAGTGAGTTGAGGTTGGACCCAGTGGTGAAATCCAAATTTTTTTACTACCGGTTCTGTGGGAGTGGATTTGTGGGCATGGCAGGGGAAGGATACTGCAAAATCTCCATTCCCACCCCACTCCAGGGGAAGGATACTGTAAAATCTCCATTCCCACCCCACTCCAGGGGAAGGATACTGCAAAATCTCCATTCCCTCCCCACTCTGGGACCAGCCAGAGGTGGTATTTGCCAGTTCTCCGAACTGCTCAAAATTTTCGCTACCAGTTCTCCAGAACCTGCCAGAACCTGCTGAATTTCACCCCGGTTGGACCCTTCATCTCCCTCTCTTCCAATGCTGTTATTCTCAGGTACAATGCCATTGATTTAAAATGGCAACTAAGTGCAGGGAACTATCATGTACACAAAGATGCCAAGAGAGAAGTAGTGAAAGTGTTCTGAAAAGAGAACTTGGTTACCGCATGGCAAGTGGGTGGAGTGACTCCTTCAGCCTTCTTTGCAAACAAGTTTCAAAACCCAGATTTTACTTCTTTCCAAACCTTGCTGATAGTTCTTTAAAGAAGGAGATTGATTACTTACTGTCTCGTATGGATGTCTAAACTCGCACTCTTTCCACAATTTCTTACTCAAGACATGGCATTTGGTTTCTAGCACATCCAACTTGAGGTATAAAATAGGATCACCATCCTTCTATGGAGAAAAGAAACTCTTGAAAAGGCAAGGCTTAAAGTTAATCTCTTTCAGCACATTAGATGAAAATAAAGTAACCTTCAAATAAAGACAGGAGTTCCTTACTCCAGATGGTTTGTTATGTGCGGCAAAACATTTAATTTTAATCCTAGCAAGGGTGAATATCTATTATCATGAAACCTGATCTCAAATGATTTTCTTAGAATGTTTTGGACCAATATTACGCTGTCCCATTTAAAAAAAGGGGATGGGAATGATCAGTGATAACAAGATCTGCCATTAAATAGGTTATTTTTACTTTTAATTACTTTTAAAGGTAAAGGTAAAAGTTCCCCTTGCACATATGTGCTAGTCATTCCCGGCTCTAGGGGCTCATCTCCGTTTCAAAGCCGAAGAGCCAGCACTCTCCAAAGATGTCTCCGTGATCATGTGACCAGCATGACTAAACGGCAAAGGCGCACGGAACACTGTTACCTTCCCACCAAAGGTTGTCTCTATTTTTCTTCTTGCATTTTTTACATGCTTTCGAACTCTAGGTTGGCAAAAGCTGGGACAAGTAACGGGAGCTCACCCCATTACACAGCACTAGGGATTCGAATTGCTGAACTGCCGACCTTTCAATCGACAAGCTCAGCATCTTAGCCACTGAAACACCGTGTCCCCGTGCCACTAAATACATACAGGTATTAGTTGTTTGACTTAGTCTAATGGTAAAGCTGGACCTACTTTGAGTATGTCTTTTAATTAGGGCTACCAAGTCTAGGCTATGTCTCTTGGGTGCCATCAAGTGATTTTGTAGATTTTGTTCCCTGCTCAAATATATTAATGACTGGACACCAGAATGGCTGGTGTTAAATGCAAGGAAAGAAAAAAGGCAATAGAAGGAGGAGATCTTACCTCAGTTATTTGGTGGGCATCAAAAATGCGTTGCAGGCCAAGAACGTAACCTTCTGTCTGATATTTATTGTGGTTGTTGAGGGCCAGTTCTGCAGCAGTCTTTATGTCCGAAGAGTTGCAAGATAGGTGATGAAAATGAGGATGTGGAACGGAAGCCACTGCGTGAAACAGCTGTATCCCAATTAAGAATGAAATTAAAAGGGCCATTTTAGAAATTTTTGCAGAATCAGAGAAGACAGCAATACAGCTACACTTAGAGAGCAAGGCTCTGACAGAGCTTTGTCTTTCTATATATACTTTGAAATCAATAGCTAATATTTGTTCTTCTACTTGCATGGTGTCTCTCACTTTTAAACTTCAACCTGTGAGGCAATGATTGCATAATATATAGCTTGGCAGGGGAATGTTCATCTAAGTTTCATCTAGGTTTTGGATTTATATAAGTTTCACTGCAGAAAATGACCTCCCTCTCGCCCTCGGTTCTTCCCTCCCTTCCTTCTATAAAAGTAGACATTATACTTAAATGGATGCACTTTGATTTAATCAATATATTTTTTTCATTTAAATGTATTGGCTGCCTTACTCAAGTGGTCTCTGGATGATGTTCCTAGGCTGACCATAGATATTAGCAAAACATTGAAAGAGCTGAAGTATGCTTACTTGACCGTATGACCAGAACATATTTTTTGATACTGTGCATATTATTAGCAATAAAATGACACTGTGGTTGTGATTTAGGGATGAAATCCAGCAGGTTCTGACAGAATCTGGAGAACTGGTAGCGGAAATTTTGAGTAGTTCGGAGAACTGGCAAATACCACCTCTGGCTGGCCCCAGAGTGGGGTGGGAATGGGGATTTTGCCATATCCTTCCCCTGCAGTGGGGTGGGAATGGAGATTTTGCAGTCTCCTTCCCCTGCCACGCCCACCAAGCCACGCCCACCAAGCCATACCATGCCTACCAAGCCACGCCCACAGAACCGATAGTAAAAAAAAATTGGATTTCACCACTGTTGTGACTGATCAGAAAATGGTTGATATGTTCATTGCAAAAGCATTTTTTCTACAACCTCTTCAGCCAAAGAGGTTGTAGAAAAAATGCTTTTAAAAGTTTTTTAAAAAAGCCTTTGATGATCGCGTGGCTCAGCTGGGCATGGGGGCGGGGGGGCAGGGATTTTTGCTACCGGTTCTCCGAACCACCCCCTGCCCTCACTACTGGATCAGGCGATCCAGTCCGAACCGGGAGCATTTCACCCCTGCTAGGTAGTATTCAGAGTGGCTTCTGGGTTTTTTTTTTTTTTTTTGCACTTTAAAATTATGATAAGCACATTTCAAAACAAATTATCTCAGGTATTGTTATGAGCTTGCTAAATTAATTAGTAAAATTTTGAAAATATTATTAATTTTGAAAATGATTTTTACCCTAAAACGTACGTTTCAAAAAAACCAAAACAGCTCACCAATGATGCAAACAGATACATCCAAAATGATCACACAATATAGTCAAATACTAACTAAATTCCAGTATTTGAGGGGCTGCCACAAAGAAGAGGGGGGTCAAATTATTCTTCAAAGTACCAGAGGGCAGGACAAGAAACAATGGATGGAAACAAATCAAGGAGAGAAGCAACCTGGAATTAAGGAGAAGCTTCTTAACAGTGAGGACAATTAACCAGTGGAACAGCTGGCCTCAGGAATTATGGGTGTCCATCACTGAAGGTTTTTAAGAAGTGTCTAGAGTCAGTCGCTTATTTAAAATGGTATAAATTCTCCTGCTTGAGCAAGGGAATGGACTAGAAGACTTCCAACTCATTCTATTCTAAACTATCTGGGGATTGCATTAAATCAGAGTGCAGGTAGTCCTCGACTTACGACCACAACTGAGGCCAAACTTTTTGTTGAGACATTTGTTAAGTGAGTTTTGCCTCATTTTACGACCTTTATTGCCACACTGGTTAAGTGAACTATGGCAGTTCTTAAGTTAGGAACATGGTTGTTGAGTGAATCTGGCTTCTCCGTTGACTTTGCTCATGAGAAGGTCACAAAAGGTGATCATAGGACCCCAGCACACTGCCACTGTCATTAATATGAGTTGGTGGCCAAGCATCTGAGTTTTGATTACGTGACCATGGGGATGCTGCAATAATCTTGTGAAAAACGGTCATAAATCACTTTTTTTTCCAGTGCCGTTGCAAGTTTGAACAGTCACTAAACGAACAGCGGTTGCACCTGAGAATCAGCAACACGAAACATGGCAAAACATAGCATCCTTTGCAAAGTTTATTGATTAGATTGAGTGCCACCCCCTTATCCTCCTCTCTTCCAATTTTCAGGGACTATCATACCTTGGCTTGGTCCATGCCACAATAAACAGAGTGCTGACATGGCCTGTGCAACAGTTTCTCTGAGATTAGAAAGTAAAGATATTACGTAGTTAGCTGCAGAGTGCGCACATACACGCATGCCTGCTCTCACACACATGCCTCTTTCCATTTCTCTATTTTCCTACTTTATTAGCACATCTTCAGTCAGTATAGTGCAGTTAGTGGTGCTGGATCTGAACTGGAGAGAGTCACTGGATGAATTTGGACCTGACATCCTTTCTTAACACAGCCTCCATCGCAAGGCAGTGGTCGTGAGAAAATGCTTTGGACTTGGCACTGGGTGAGCTGCAGAGTGCATTTTGCCCAACCACTTTGCTTGAGATGGGAGAACATTCTCAGGAGGAGAGATGGACTGAAACCTGGAGGCTATGTTTTTCAGTCATTGGGCTGGCCCTATTCTTTTCCCCAGGCATCTGGCTCTACTGAGAACAGGCAGATAAACTCTAGCAAACAGGTTTTCATGCAGATTATATTTATTTCGGGTATCCTCAAACATAGACTTACAATCATGGTGAGTCAAGGTGAGATTCATCCAAGTATTTCATAATCTATCCCATTTCCTAGTATAATTTCCTAGTTCCGTCCCCCTGTTCAGAAAGCATGCTTCTCTCTTCTGTGGTAGTTCATAATGGCCAGGTCTTTGTTCTGCACCTAGGCAGAGAGCCTCAGTGGCCAATCTGACACAAAGATGTGGTCACATGTCATGGACTACATTTCCCATAATGCAATCTCTCTCTTCATCTCCCACAATGCAATCTCTTAAGGAGACAGCTCTTAATTCTTAAGGTAATTAATTCACTATAACTCACTATCTGAAACAGCACAGGCCCTGAAAAACGGCCTCCCACAGGAAGTTCAGTGGATTCAAAATGACCTCCTATCAGAGGTGGGTTGTACTTACCTTTACTACCGGTTCGCAATGGGGCCACATGTGCGCGCTTCTGCGCATGGGCAGAAGCTTCCTGATGACGTTGGGATCGGTGGGCGGAGCCTCCCGCTGGTTTTACTACCGGTTCTTGCGAACCGTTCCAAACCGGGGAAAACCCACCACTGCCTCCTATGACAAGTTCATTGGGTTCAGTGGAGGTGTATATAGGATACTGTTTGGGATTACAGGTATGTTTTTATTTTTATTTTATTTTCTGAGGTCCTGAGAATGTCTTTGGTGGAGGGATATATATTCAATGAATTAATGTATTAATGACATTGCCTTGATGCATAAGATTCCAAGGTTCAAAGTTGCAAATTAACCCTTTATGGAGTATGCTTGTGGTTGCATAGTTAGGGAACCAATGGTCCTGCAAGATCTTGGGGTCTCCTTCAATACATATATTCAAGAAGAATTTAGAGGATTTTTTTTTTCCTGGAATGCCTTAAAATGGGATTCCTGCACCAAGCCATGACATGGACCAGTGGTCTCAGTCAATGTTTTTCAACCTTAGCTGGATGTGTGGACTTCAATGCTCAGAATTCCCCAGCCAATGTGCAAACCCTGGTCTAAATATCCTCTTAACATTTTGTAGTATTGTTTACTTTGCTGGTTTTATTAGGCATCTTATGAGAAGTAAAGGAATGTTTGGATTTCTAGACATCAAATAACTTCTACTACTACCCAATTTCAAAGAGCCTTTTCTCCAAGCTCTGAAACATCCAGGGAAAAATCAGGTGCTGCTCCTTACAAGAGGGAAAATACCTGGCATTCTCAAGGGTCCTCTGCGAAGCCTGTGCGTTTGTTTCAAAAGAATAAATGGGTTTTTTTTTTTTTGAAATAACCACTACAAAAACTGTCATGGTACATGGGTTCTTTTATTGAATGTTTTTAATATTTCTTTTTTTTTTAATATACTTTATTAAATTTTTCCATTACAAAAAAATATATAAAATCTTTTTTTTATTGAAAAGTTTTAAAAAGTTTACATATATATCCCCCCCTTCCCTCCACCCTCCCCAACCCTCCCCCTCCCACCCACCCCCCTCCCTACTTCCCAGAGCAAAATACAGGGTATAACATTCAACAATCATAATCTAACATAGTCTAATTAATTATAACCTCTTACATCTCTCTAATACTTTAACTCCCCATTTACCAAACTAAAAATGAATACATAATAACATCTCTCTATCTATTCGTAAGCTATTTGAAATTTTTTAGTCCGGTATTTATTTTGAATATAATCTATCCATCTTCTCCATTCTATCATATATTTCTCATTTGAATAGTCCTTCAAATACGCTGAGATCTTTGCCATCTCTGCTAAATTTGCTACTTTTAATATCCATTCTTGAGTAGTAGGCAAATCTTCCTTCTTCCAATACTGCACCACCAACAATCTTGCTGCAGTTATTAAATTCAGGATCAAATTAGTCTCTATAACCGTACAATCCATGATTATGCCCAACAAAAATAACTGTGGAGTAAACTTTATCCTCTTTTAAAGAATATTTTGAATAATCCACCAAATTTTTATCCAGAATGCTTTAACCTTTTTACAAGTCCACCATAAATGAAAATAAGTAGCGTCATCACAATCACATCTCCAACATTTAGATTGTAAATTCGGATACATACAAGCTAACTTTTTGGGATCTAAATGCCATCTATAAAACATTTTGTAAAAGTTTTCTCTCCAATTTTGCGCTTGTGTAAATTTTACATTTCTTACCCATATCTTTTCCCATGTTTCCATCATTATTGGTTGTTCAAAGTTTTGTGCCCATTTTATCATACAATCCTTAACTAACTCTGTTTCCAAGTCTGTTTCTATCAATATATTATACAAACTTTTTATATGCATTTGACTCTGGTCTCTAATTTGTTTTACCAAATTTTCTTCACTTTGTATGATACCAATATTTAATATTTCCTTGAGCGGAAAAATAGTTGCTGTTCTTGTGATAAGTAAGCGAGTGAGTGAATGAGTGAGTGAGTGAGTGAGTGAATGACAGAAGAAGGGAGGGAGGCTTCCTCTGAATTAATCTTTCAGTGTTGTACATCACTCTTTGTTTGGGAAGTTTCAGCCTGTTGCCGTGAAGGCAGATGAAGGCCAAATATCTCGTTTAAAACCTTTCCTGGGCATTCAGCTGATTCGGAAAGCCCTTTAGGATAAGGAGGAACTTCTGGCACGTCATGGTTGCTCGAAGGATGATACTCGATCACCTGTACCACTGCTTCCTTCTGTTGTGGTGGCGTTTCTGTGAAAGTAACATGAGGGTGGTGTAGCTCCTGTGTTTCAGACTGTGTTTGTGAAGTCTGTCCATCTTTAACTGATTGCTAATAAGAGAAAAGATAGATAAAGCGACTTAGAGAATTGTCCATATGTGGCAGGGGTGAAATCTACTTATCTTTCTTACCGATTCGGAAGTGCATGCATCACATGTGCGCACAGAACCTCTGCGCATGCGCAGAGGATAAAAAACACATTACTTCCTGGTTAAAACCAGGAAGTAACGACACTCTGGCGGGTGGGCGGAGCCTCGCGCTGCCATCGCTACTGGTTCTCCAAACCATCTGCCACAATCGCTACCGGATTGCCTGATCCGGTCCGAACCGGGAAGATTTTACCCCTGATACGTGGCCTATCAATTGTGCTTAGTTATTTTGGGAATAGTTCAAGACAGTTGATGTTCATACATTCTGCTCTCTGGATGCAACAAGGAGAGATCTTTCCAACTGTACATCCTCAGGGGTCGATCTTAATCACTGTCAGTCTTGCTAAATGGATGGACTGGAAGCATGTCCAGATGAGATAATTTTAATTTCTTTATGGATACTTTAAGAGAATCTTGCAAATCTGAAGGTACAATAGCCCCACTCCTTTACATCCCAAGAAACTAGGGAGGGTCCCTTCTGAGCCTCTTTCTCCATCCATTATGCAGCTAAGAAGTAGCTCTTCTTCCCTAAGAAGCCATCCTGGTAGCACAGTGGTTAAAGTGCAGAATTGTAGGCAAATTCTGCCCCCATCCTGAAGATCGACCCTGACGGGGTTCAAGGTTGACTCATCCTTTCTCTACTTATTTAATTGTGGGAGGGATGTCATTCGATGGTTGCTAATCCTTTCACTACATTACTGTATTTTAAAAGTTACAAAGTGCCTTACTCCAAAGACTTTAGGCAGAATTTAAAATTGAAATTTAATAAAGATCATTCTTAAAGTAATATTAACTCATAAAAACATTATTAAGCAGATCTTCATCTGCCTGCTTAATCAAGCCAAGTCTTAACTTGTGATAATTATTGAATTATTATTTAACAGAAAAATTTGTTGGTTTGCTGGGTGAAATACAGTCAATGTGTTTTAAAAAGTAAATTAAACTGAACAACCCAGAAATAAATATTTTCTGCAGTTGATAGCTGTCTGAGAAACTTACCGGATGTGGGAAGAAATCGCATTGTACAGTGACAGTTTTTTCAAATTTTATTGGTTTGTTGATTACGGAGCCTTTGCATAGACCTGCCTCCTAGAGCAAAAGAGAAAGGTTGATTAAACCAAAAAGTTTAATCTGCTCAGAATTTTGAATATGGAGGGGGATAGCAGTGGATGTGGTTGATCAGAAGTTCTATATCAAAGGGCCTTCTTCATTGCTCCACTGAATGACAGTTTCTGTGGTCCCATTAAAGATGATGGAGCCTCCATCGGAAAGCTGAATTCTTGTGCTGTGCTTCTTAGAATTTTTAATTCTTCCTTTTCACAGTCATCCAAACAGTGGTGAAATGTAAAATTTGTTACTACCGGTTCTGTGGGCGTGGCTTGGTGGTGGTAGGGTAATGTGACTGGGTGGGCGTGGCCAACTTTTTTTTTTTTACTTTTAAAAGCATTTTTTCTACAACCTCTTTGCCTGAAGAGGTTGTTAAAAAAATGCTTTTAAAAGCTTCTGACGATCCCAGCTGAGTTGCCTGATTGTCAGAGGCTTTTGTTTTCTTTTAAAAGCATTTTTTTTTTGCTTTTAAAAGAAAAAAAAAAGCCTCTGACGATCAGGCAACTCAGCTGGGATTGTCAGAGCCTTTTAAAAGCATTTTTTTCTACAACCTCTTCCACCCAAAAAATGCTTTTAAAAGTAAAAAAAAAAAGCCTCTGATTATCGCGTGGCTCAGCTGGGCATGGGGGGAGGGCGCAGGGATTTTCGCTACCGGTTCTCCAAACCACCCACCGTCATCGCTACCGGATCGGGCGATCCGGTCCGAACCGGGAGCATTTCATCCCTGCATCCAACCAGTCTATGGATTTCTTGAAGCAAATTTTCCAAATTAGGAAATGTGTTTTGGTGTTCCAGGTATTATTTTTGGTATCTTAATGACTATATTCCTATAATTATATACTATAGTTATATACATATAATTTATGAAACAAACTAAGAGAAGGTCTGGATTCCCACAGATTTTAGGCCAGGCTAAATGTTCTATAAATGCAGCCATTGAGTCTGGCAGACGTAGATGAATAAAGAACACGATATGAGCAGTGAAAAATTTGATTCTTCAGAAGAAATGAGCTAGGTTTTAGGCAACGTTGTATTGAGCCATGATGTCGGATTAGGTTTTATGTAATGTTGTGAATACTTACTGCAGTTTCAGTTGGGAGGAGAGGGCATTGAGTGATGTCAGACACAGGTGTACTTTTGTGACAGGAAGTCTCCTGGATCGTGTATTCTACGTAGTAAGAAGGACCAAAAACCCACTGTAGAAAGTAATGAACTAGAGTGAGTCACATTCTCTGTGGGAAATGTTCCCCATAATCTTTAATAACTTGAAGCTCTCCAGAGAGTCTCCATGATTCTTAGTACCAGGAGAACTGGTAGAAAATTGTCAAATGTTATCAATAAGAGGACACTAAAATATTCAGTAAGCAAATTGAAAGTAACATTGTAGAAAGATTAGAGTCAAACCCATGTGGGAAACTAGATTTCTGGGAAGATCACGGAGAGGGCTCGCAACTTGGGTGTCCTCCTGGACTCACGGCTGTCTTTAGAAGAGCATATGACGGCCGTGGCCAGGGGGACTTTTTATCAGGTCCGCCTGATTCGCCAGTTGCGTCCCTTTCTGGATCGGGACTCGTTAAATACGGTCACTCATGCTCTTGTCACTTCCCGCTTGGACTACTGCAATGCTCTCTACATGGGGCTCCCCTTGAGGAGCACCCGGAGGCTCCAGCTGGTCCAGAATGCGGCCGCGCGGGTGGTTATGGGAGCGACGTGGCGCTCCCATGTGACCCCCCTCCTGCGCGAGCTGCACTGGCTCCCGGTGGTCTTCCGGGTGCGCTTCAAGGTTTTGGTTACCACCTTTAGAGCGCTCCATGGCATCGGACCGGGGTATCTACGAGACCGCCTTCTGCTACCAATAGCCTCTCACCGACCAGTACGCTCCCATAGAGAGGGGCTCCTCAGGGTGCCGTCGGCCAAACAGTGTCGACTGGCGGCCCCCAGGGGGAGAGCCTTCTCTGTGGGGGCACCTACCATCTGGAACGAGCTCCCCCCAGAGATACGGTAGATCCCGGACCTGCGCACGTTTCGCCGTGCTCTCAAAACTTTTCTATTTCAGCAAGCTGGCCTGGCCTAACTCCCCTCTTTTAAATTCTTAAATTTTAAATTTTTTAATTCGTGATTTTATAAATTGGGTGTTTTAATCTGTGTTTCGGCCGAAATATTTAATAATTTTAAGGGATTTTTAATATTTGTATTGTCTGTATTTTATCTTGGCTGTTCACCGCCCTGAGTCCTTCGGGAGTAGGGCGGTATAGAAATTTGATTAATAAATAAATAAATAAATAAATCACTGGCAATTAAAAATTAAAATATACTTTAAGTCAGATTCCTGCAGACTTTGACCATCAGTCCCTATACTTCCTTTGGCAATAAGGTAGAAAGCAGCTGCCCTCTTCTGGAATTATTTCTGTTATTATTTTCAATTTCTACATTTCCCATAAACCCTGGTCTTTGCAGTACTTTCTATATAAATCAAGCATACAGCATCAACTCTCTTGCTCAAAAATACTCTGTTTCAGCTTTACCTGTGAACTTGCTTTGGTGACCTCAAGAACAGCAAAATAATGATTGTGGTTACTTTCAACATTGAATTTAGCCAGGCTCTCTCTTGCTGTTTGTTGAAAAATGTCTTCAGAAGTGTTTCCGCGTCGTGGACAGTCAGGACAACCAGATACAGAATCTTTAGGGGAAAAAAAATCATTTGAAAAGGTCAGGCAAGGCGTTTGAATATCAGCTTGTACATTTAAATCAAAAAGCTTCGATCAGCTCGAAAATTAAGCTTCTCTGTCAAACCTGTATCTCATCAGGGTCATAGTTGTTTAGCAACCTGACACAACCCTCAACAGCACAGAACCAGTGAAGCCTGTCATTGTGAGCGGGAACAAATCTGAAGGCAGGAACCAATAGAAAAGAATAATGTCAGGGGTTCCAAGTAACACCCCCAACGAAAGAAGACTCCGAAGCTTGAAGTTCCTCAAAACTAACTTTTATTAGAGATGTCATATTGGCACATCTGGGAAAACCCGAATCTGAAAGCTTCCGGGTTTTCCTCACCCACAAGAGAGTTCAAGACCTTGCCCACATCTCCCACATGTCCACACAGCTCCAATCAGTACTTTCCCGAACAGAAGACATCCTCCAATTTCTTCTTTGCACAGCTGCCGGATACCATGGCCTTGAACTTCTCTTAGAGAAGTTTGTTATGGCTATCTGTACTCCACTCATACAATCCCTCCCTCCCAACTTCCCATGGTATGATTGTGGCAGGCCTGGATCCTCAAGGCACACAGACAATATGGCTTCTAGGCATGACAAATATCTTATAGCTCAGGGTTGGATTGTGGCCAGGGATGGGATTGAAAAATTTTAGCAACTGGTTCTCTACCCCGTTGCTGGGTGGGCATGGCCATGGGAGCGTGGCCTACTTGGCCTCCTACACCATGGCAGGAGGGGGGGCATTTTCACCCTCCCCAGGCTCCAGAGGCTTTTGTTGAGCCTCCGGGAGGGCAAAAAGGGCCTCCCCTGGCCTCTGGAGGCTCTCCGGGTGCCAGAAATGGGCCCATTTCCAGACTTCCGGCACCTCCAGTAGGCCCGTTTTTTGCCATCCCCAGGCTCCGGAGGCTTTCCTAGAGCCTCCAGGAGGGTGAAAATGGCCTCCCCTGGGCTCTGGAAGCTCTCTGGAGGCCAGAAATAGGCCCATTTCTGGACTTGCAGGAGGCCCGTTTTTCCCCCTCCCAGAGCCTCCGCATATGCCCTGCACTTACCTCACATCCAAACGGGCTGCACAGATACTCCTGAGAGGGGCGGGGTGGGGTGGGTGGGGTCAGTCAGTCCTTGCAACTACCGGTTCGGTGAACTGGATGTAAAATTAACATCTGGTTCGCCCGAACCAGTCAGAACCGGCTGAATCCCACCCTTGATTGTGGTGCTCTCTCAGCTTGTTGGTTTTGCTTGTAGATGTTTCATTAGGTATGTAGCAGGTTCCTAGCAATTTTTCCTCATTTCCCAAGGTTTATACTGTATTTCTTTCAAACATTCATACTCATAACTTTATCATGGAGGGTCAGTTTTAGGAAGTTACCATATGGTGCAAGGCAGCAAAGTAATCATTAGTGAGAAACAACTTGTCAAAGTTAATATACCTTTCAACCACAGCTTTTACTAGATTTTTGATGTTAGCAGAGGCTGCACCTCTTCTATGCTGACAATCACACAATGCATCATGAATTGACTGGAAAATGGGATTTGGGTCTGAGTAGGAGTTGTTTTTATTTTAATTTGATAGTGCAATTCAAAAACCAGCATGGAAATGCAGGCGTAGTTAGTAGAAGATAATATCTTATAGTAGTAAAAATGCTGGTGGAAAAAAGTGTGTGAAAAATGTATAAATTTGTAACAAAAATTTACAGAAAAGGAAATTGGGCCAAGCTGCACCTGTGGTTGAGAAACAGAGCAAACTGAAATTACAGGTGTAGCTCAGTGGTGAAATCCCCCCCGGTTCTGTCCTGCTCACCGAACTGGTAGTGCCCACCTGCCGGGACGTCATTATGTCCCGTTTTTTACCATTTGCACATGTGGTAAAATGCGCACTCCCATTCCTGAACCGGTAGTGAAGGTAAGTGGATTCCACCGCTGGTGTAGCCTAAGATACCTGGAACAATGGAACAAGTCTTTAAAATTTAATTTTGGGGCTTCAGAATCTATTTTTAAAACTTCATTGGGGATCTGTGTAAAACTACAATTGCAAGATGCATGTGCTCGGATATATATTTTTGGCAAGCCTCCATGCAGCAAATATGGAAAATACATACGAGGGCGTAAAATGCAGTCACTTTTGTATAACAACGATTCATTTGTTTTCCTGTTCAATTTAATTATTATTTCGCAATGGCCAAAGACCTGGAATGAAAGAAAATAGTGTGTTAGTGCTACCCATTTCTTTTACCAATAATTCCATGACACATAATCAAAAGCTGGATCTTTCCCATACCTGAAACTCAGGTTTACTTTCCTTTCATAATGTTTTCCACATCTCTACAGCACCTGCATTTCTTCCTGTGATTTTGTATGACTTCCTGTGGTCCGCTAGCAGCCTGCGGAGCTGGCAGCGGAGTTGGACAGCGATGAGGCTGAGGAAGAACATGGGCCAGTCCTGGAGGCTGGGGAAGGCCCGGATGAGGGCTCTGCATCGGAGGCAGAGATGGGGCCAGGGCCATCGGGGAGTGATGTGCAGACTTCAGAGCCTCCAGAGGCTGACAGTAGAGAGGCAGAGGAACAAGAGGAGCCTGTTCTTAGTGCATGTATGAGAAGAGCTGCCAGAAGGCAGGAGCAGCTAAAGCAGAGAGGACGACTCTGGAGTAAGGCCAAGAGATGATTGGCCCCTCCCATAAGGCTTAAAAGACCAGCAACGGCTCTTGGCCTCTTTGCCGGAAAACAAAGAGATTTGTTGAGAGATTTGCTTCGTGTTTGGATGTATTTCTTTCTTGTCAGCGTCTTCTGTTCCTGAACTGTTGCCAAGAAAAGCCTTTGGCAGTTTGCCTAATTATCCCAAGGTCAGAGATAAACTGAAGAATGGTGTTTTGAGGACTTTGCTTTCATTTAATTTGGAATACACTGAGAATAAGTTAATTCTCAGCTGTTTTAATAAAATCTGTTTTTTTGGAACTGTTTTGCATTTAATATTAACTATGTGGGCCTGGGTCACAACAATGACCCCACTGTCTGTTTTATTGCACTGCAGAATATATTAGGAGTTACTAAGAGTTACTCATTCATGCAGCGCAGATGATCGATCCAGCAGACATGATCTTAATTCCACCTGATCTACTTCCTGCTTTTAGAGCAAACTTGAAAGGCCAAAGGCCAAAAATATTCGTTCAGAAAATTAATATACTTAGTATATCTAATTAGTATACTTAGTATATCTAATTATACTTCTATAATTAGAAGGATTCCGAGAGAGAGATAGAGAGATGGAGAAGTGTCAGAAAAGGACAATGAGAATGCTCACAAGTCCTAAATTAAGAGATTGAAGGTGACGTGAATGTTTTGTTTGACGAAGGACTGGAGGGGAGGAGGGGGCAAGGATCACTTTGGTACCCAAAAGGGGGACATTTAGAAGAAGGCCAAGAATTGGATCCTTTCCTGCCATAGTGTAGACATGGAAGAACCCGTTTAGATTGCAGGAGCAGATTTTGGATTGAATATTAGGAAATCTTTCCCAAGTGTAAGAGCTATGGAACAGTGGGACTGGCCAGCCAAGAGAAAGTATAAGCCATTTCTTGAGTTCCTGCACTCAGTTTGATTCATGTGTACAATCCCATTGATTTGAAATGCCACCTCAGTGCAGGGAATTATGATGAACACAAGAGATGTGAAGGAACCAGTAGTAAGATGGGAGAAGTGGTGAAGGCTATTGTGAAGAGAAGGTTTGTTACCACATGGCAAGTGGGTGGAGTAACTCCCTCAGCCACCTTTGCAAACCAGTTCAAAACCCAGTTTTTACTTCTTTCTAAACCCCTTTGGGCGTTTTTTTTTAAAAAATAAGTAAATTGATTACTTACTGTCTCAGGCAGATGTCTAAACTCACACTCTTTCCAGGATTTCCTGCTCCGGACATGGCATTTGGTTTCGAGCACATCCAAAATAAGGTTGAAAACAGACTCATCACCCTGTTATGGACAAAGGCAAACTCTTGAAAAGGCAAGACGGGTTGTTAATCAACTTGAACACATCAGATGAAAATGAATTAACCTTCAAATCAAAACTCAGAAAAAGACAGGAAATCATCTGATTTTCACTTGAGGTCAAGAAATGGAACTCCATTCTCAGATAAATCCAGAAACTTCCTTGAACTGGGCAAGGATGTCCAATTAATTTAAATTATATGCCGCCCATCTTGCTTTTGAAGTAATGCAGGCATAGTTGTGTTTGTCTTGTGATGCAAGACTAATATCTTTTTTACCTGCTTGACGATATTGCGTGCATGCCAAAATGATTTGCAGCTCTGGTGGGATACTGCAATGCTGCTCCTTAGTCTCCGATGAATGGGGGGCGAGAACCAGGGGTGGGTTCTAATTTTTTTTACTATCGGTTCTGTGGGCGTGGCTTATTTTGTGGGCGTGGCTTGGGGGTAATGTGACTGGATGGGTGTGGCCAACTTTTTTTTTTTACTTTTAAAAGCATTTTTTCTACAACCTTAAGAGGTTGCAGAAAAAAATGCTTTTAGAAGCTTCTGACGATCAGGCAACTCAGCTGGGGTCGCCAGAGGCTTTTAAAGGGATTTTTTTCCCTACAACCTCTTTGGCTGAAGAGGTTGCAGGAAAAAATGCTTTTAGAAGCTTCTGACGATCAGGCAAATCTGCTGGGATCGCCAGAGGCTTTTAAAGGGATGTTTTTTTCCTACAAAGAGGTTGTAGGGAAAAAAATCCCTTTAAAAGTCTCTGGCGATCCCAGCAGATTTGCCTGATCATCAGAAGTTTCTAAGAGCATATTTTTCTGCAACCTCTTCAAGCTTCTGCTGATCAGGCAACTCAGCTTGGATAGTCAGAGGCATTTAAAAGAAAAAAAAGCCTCTGCTGATCAGGCAACTCAGCTTGGATCGTCAGAGGCTCTTAAAAGCATTCTTTCTACAACCTCTGAAGAGGTTGCAGAAAAAATACTTTCAGAAGCCTCTGACAATCCCAGCTGAGCCGCGCGATCATCAGAGGCTTTTTAAAAAAACTTTTAAAAGCATTTTTTCAGCCAAAGAGGTTGTAGAAAAATGCTTTTAAAAGTAAAAAAAAACCCCAAAGCCACTGATGAGGTGGGCGGGGTAAGCGAGCGGCGACTGGGCCAGGGACCAGTTCGGGGGCATGACCAGCCAATCTTATTACCAGTTCTCCGAACTACTAAATTTTTTTACTACCGGTTCTTGCGAACCAGTGTGAACCAGGAGCAACCCACCACTGGCGAGAACCTGCAGATACTGGATGAATCACTCAATATTTTAATGTTCTATGGATCACTGCATCTTCAATGCATCTTGGGAAACTAGTTAAACTCTTTTCTTCATTGTTTAAATTTCCTTCCCTGCATTTGGTACAGCAGTCACCTACTTCTTTGAGAAGCTTAAATGACACGGGACCAGTTCTGTTGGGGACTTAGGCAGCAAAAGACTGTAGCATATTGGAACTTTGTATGCCAAGAAATTTAGAGGGAACCTGTCATGCCTCTGTCGGAGTCTGAATCTGTGGGGGAAGGTGAGCTGGAACAAGAGCCGACAGAGATTGAGAAGGCATCTCTGTTGGCTTTGGAGGAAACTGGGGAAGGGCATAGTCAGTCTGGGTAAGGCTTTTCAGGAGTATAGAAAGGCTTGCAGACAGGGAGGAGCAGGAGAGACAGAGCTCAGGCGAAGAGCAAGGACCACCCCCTCCTGATCCTAGAGCAAGAAGAGAAGAGAGAAGGCGAAAACAACGCAGACTGAGCCAGCTACGAGGGAGGAGAGTGCCCCGCCTCCCTTCACAAGGCACACCTGGAGACTAAGATGTAAAGGGGTGCTGGCAGGAGGGGAATTTGTTGGGAACAAGCGTTGAATCTGTGGAGCCTCGTGTGCACTTGCCAACGCCTGGAGATTACTGTGCTCTGTCTTGTGGGGCTTGCCCGATTTGCCTGCTTTGCTGAACTTCTTGTTCTGGTTACTGTTTGGCTAACCTGGTTTACTGGACTGCTGGCCCTGGTTACTATTTGGCTAACCTTGCTTCCTGGACTACTCGCAGCCAGAGGCTGCTGAAGGTGCATGTGAGAGCTTTGCTCCAGGACTTGTAGTAAATGTGGGGACATTTGGGGGCAAAGTTGGAGCAATAAAGGGGAGTCAGACCTGTTCTATGTTGCTTTCATGCCATGCCCCAGGTCATCACAGAACCCGTGTCTACAGAATCACGGTTTACTCCAGATGGTTTGTTACATGCAGCAAAAGATTTATTTTTAATCCTAGCAATGGTGAATATATTATATTGAAACCTGATCTCAAATCATTAATTTAGAATGCCTTGGACAGATAGTACACTGTCCCATTTAAAAAAAGAGGATGGGATTCACCTGTGATAATAAGATCTGGCAGAAAATATATATTAGTTGCTTGACTCATTCTAATGGTAAAGCTGTCCCTACTTTGAGTATGTCTTTTATTAGGGCTACCAAATCTAGGCTACATCTCTTGGGTACCATCAAATGATTTTGTAGATTCATTCCTGCTCAGATACATTAATGCTACCATGATTGGACACCAGGTGCTGAGTGGAAAGAAAAGAAAAAAAAATCAGTAGAAGGAGATCTTACCTCAGTAACTTCTTGGGCATCAAAAATGCGCTGGAGACCAAGAACGTAGCCTTCTCTCCGATTTGCATTGAGTTTGTTGAGGGCCACTTCTGCAGCAGTCGTTACCTCCAAAGAGTTGCATGATGGGGAAAGGAAGAGAGGAAGTGGAACAGAAGTCACTGCATGAAACAGCTGTATCCCAATTAAGAATGAAATTAAAAGGGCCATTTTGGAAATTTTTGCAGAATCAAAGAAGACAGCAAATAGAGTTGTACTGAGAGAGCAAGGTTCTGACAGAGCTTAGTCTATATATACTTTAAAATCAATAGCTAATATTTATTCTACTGTATAGTGTCCCTCACCTTTAAGCTTCAACCTGTGAGGCAATGTTTAGATGTGCATACCTTTGCAAGTTAATTCTTACCAATGGTCATATTCTTGAATTTAAGCCAGTTTCGCTGTACCTTCCTTTCTTCTTTCTTTCTTTCCTCCCTTTCTCTGTTTAATTTTGAGAGACATAGGACCAGAGGTGGGTTTCAGCAGGTTCTGACCAGTTCTGGAGAACCAGTAGTGGAAATTTTGAGTAGTTCGGAGAACCGGTAGTAAAAATTCTGACTGGCCTCTCCCCCATCTATTCTCTGCCTCCCGAGTCCTAGCTGATCAGGAGGAAATGGAGATTTTGCAGTAACCTTCCCCTGGATTGGGGAGGGAATGGAGATTTTACAGTATCCTTCCCCTGGAGTGGGGTGGGAATGGAGATTTTACAGTATCCTTCCCCTGCCATGCCCACCAAGCCACGCCCACCAAGCCACACCCACAGAACCGGTAGTAAAAATTTTTGAAACCCACCACTGCATAGGACCTGGTAGAGTTGACTATACTTTCTGTTGCTAAGTGAGGCATTTGTGAAGTGAGCTTTCCCTCATTTTACGACCTTTATGGCCACGTTTGTTAAGTGAACCATGGCAGTTGTTAAGTTAGGAACATGGTTGTTAAGTGAATCTGGCATCTCCACTGACTTTGCCTGTGAGAAGGTCACAAAAGGTGATCCCAGGATCCCAAGAGACTGCAACCGTTATAAATATGGACCAAGCATCCAAATTTTATTCATGTGATCATGGGGATGCTCCAATAACCTTGTGAAAAACGGTCATAAGTTACTTTTTTTTTTCATTCCTGTTGTAACTTTGAACAGTCACTAAACAAACAGCTGTTGCACATGAGAATCAGCAACAAGGACAGGGAAAAATGTAGCCTGCTTTGCAATGTTTATTGATTAGATCGAGTGCCACCCCCACATCCTCCTCTATTCTTGCATTGTTGCAATCTTCAGGGAACTATCATGCCTTGGCTTGGTCCATGGTACAATAAACAGAGTGCTGACATTGTGCAACTACAGATCCTTTGACATAAAAAGTAAATTCCAGAAGTTCAAAGGAATATTTGTTTTATTGTAGGTCTGGCATTTTGAACCCGTTGTCTTGATTTCTGGTACAGAAAAAATAAATAGAAAATGAATGATTAATGGAGAAAATAGGTGAGAAAGATGATCCAAAATGAGGAACTCAAATCTAAATCAAGGGGTAAAATAGGGTGCAACTCCAGCATCGCAAAGGGTAATGATAAAGACAGGTAGAAAGGGACACCTCTCAATACATTGAATTCTGAATGTTTTAAAAAGAAATGAAGGCTCCTCATCCCTGCTACAATTAGGCAGAGACCAGGCTAAATTCCTTTCAGTTGCAGAGAAGCGGCCCAGGACACTTGCACACCAGTGAATTCACACATGAGACCACCAAGGGAATGACTGAGTTCACATACTGACCTAAGCCACATTGTGACTCTCTGGCTTAATACATTGAATTTTGAGACCACATTTCATGCTTTAGTGTGCTGTGGGAGCCCCCTCACTTGTGAGCAGTAGTGGGTTCCTCCCGGTTCGGCCCGGTTCCACCGAGCCGATAGCGGTGACGATATGATGTCACCGAATTGGTTCTTCCCCTCTGCGCCATGCCCCCTGCGTTATTCTTACCTTTTATTTGGCCCCACCCCCAATCTATTGCTGCCTCCTGAGTCCCAGCTGATCGGCTAGAAGGGAAAAAACTGTTTAAACTCTTGCCACGGGGCTTCAAAGGGCCGCCCTACAGCTGATCAGTGTTAAAAGGCAGTGTGGTGGTGGACTGGTGCCTCCAAAAACAAATGAGTAGACCGGTGCCTGCAAAAATAAATGGGTAGACCGGTACAGCTCTGCAAGCAGTTAAAAGCCTGGTAGACCAGTACCTCTGCTAAATCCTAAAGAATTGTCACATGACCATCAAACCACACCCACAAAATAAGCCATGCCCACAGAACCGGTAGTAAAAATTTTTAGAACCCACCCCTGCTCATGGGGTATTGCCATCAGGATCTCTGGGGAAGATCAAAGCCTGTAGGATGGATTTTGGCCTTCTCCCCAGATGCTGCTGGTTTATTCCAACAACCATTTGTCCGAAATGGTATAAGGTTTCCTGCCTGAGCACGGAGTTGGACTAGAAGACCTTCAAGGCCCCTTCCAGCTCTGTTATTCTGGAGTTAATTCAATGTGTTAGTTATTACCTACAGGCATAGGGCCAGGCTACCTACAGGACTGGCTTTTATTTATTAATTAATTTATTATTTATTTATTTATAAGATTTGTATGCCGCCCTATCTCCAAGGACTCAGGGCGACTCACACAACAATTGACCAACAACTGTTAAAATCAACAAATATACACAAAAAACATAAAAAGTTTTTTAAAAAATTTAAAATTTAAAATATGCTACCCCATCAGTCCAGGCTAGGGGACATAAATAGCCAGGTTTTCAATTCACGGCGGAAGGTGCGAAGGTCAGGGGCCAACCGGAGCCCCAAGGGAAGTTGATTCCAAAGGGTGGGGGCGCTCACAGAGAAAGCTCTACTCCTGGGGGTCGCCAGCCGACATTGTCTGGCCAACGACACCCTGAGTAGGCCCTCTCTGTGAGAACGCACCTGGCGATGGGAAGTTGACGCTGGGTGCAGGTGGTCCGACAAATAGCGTGGGCCTAAGCCATGAAGGGCTTTATAGGTTAACACCAGCACCTTGAATCTCACCCGGAGGGCAACTGGCAACCAATGCAAGCCGCACAGGAGAGGTGTAATATGGGAGTATCGGGTCCCTCCCGCAACAACCCGCACGGCCGCATTCTGTACCGGCTTTGCCCCATCACATCAACCTGTCCCACTCGTTCAGGAAGGGCAAGTGTATTACAGACTCCATCGGTCAAAGAATTTCAACTGGTGGGACATCAGAGGTAGGTTCTATATAATGGGTTCAGCCATAATGACCAATGTTTTTTTTTATGAGGTTACCTCATAAAATTCTTTATTCAATACCTCACAATTAAATAATCCATCATTTCCCATAGTACATGAATCCAGACAGTACTGTTATTCATGAAAATACTATCTGCAATATTTTCTTGATGTATGGTTTTACACTAATGATGTGTACCTGTTGGGATTACTAATGGAAGTGGCGATTTGAAGGTGGGCAGTCATTCCTTCAGAGATGTCAGAGATTCTCCGGGGGTTCAGGAAAGCTCTTCTTTATTGAAGGAGACTCTGGAGCTGGCAGCACCCTCTCCAGTTCTGGCAGCTGCCCGGACTTCTCGTCATCCTTCCACTCGGGGTCCCCAAGAACTTCTCCCTGTTCCTGAGCTTGAGGCAAAAACTCGGATGTCTGATCTGAGTTGCTCTGGCCCCATCTCAGTGCCCGATGCAGGGGAGGCTGTCCCAATGAACTCCCATGACCACAAACAGTTTCATACAGCCCTTCAGGTCATAGTTCTCTTTTTTCTCTGTTGTCAGGCCCCTAAATGACTTGAGCCTTCTCATATGCCATCTTCAGGTCTCAACTGATTCATGTAGCTTCGGTATGGAGTGAGTGGGACCGCCTACTACCATCAATAGCCTCCCACCGGCCGGTACGCTCTCATAGAGAGGGGCTCCTCCGGATGCCGTCGGCCAAACAATGTTGACTGGCGGCCACCAGGGGGAAAGCCTTCTCTGTGGGGGCATCTACTATCTGGAACAAGCTCCCCCCGGAGATACGGAGGATCCCAGATCTGCACACCTTCCGCCGCGCTCTAAAGACCTTTTTATTTCACCAGGTGGGTCTGGCCTAACTTTCTCCCTCTTTTTAAACATTTTAAATATTTTTTAGTATTTTTAATATTCAAAGTTTAAATTTGTTTTAAATTGATTGGGGTTTTAAATCTGTCTGGGCCAAACTATTTAATTCAATTTTATCTCTGCTTTTTAAATTTTGTATGTATGTATTTTATTGTTGGCTGTTCACCGCCCTGAGTCCTTCAGGAGTAGGGCGGTATATAAATCAAATAAAAGTAAAGTAAAGTAAAAAGTGAGGTCTCGTCCATGGAGAAGACAAACACTATATCTACCAACAGTTGAGTGTTCCTGTCAAACATCAATTGGTATGGAGAGTACCCTGTAGCATTTCTTGGGCTATGGGTCTCCTTGTGTAGGGTAGGGAGTGGTGTGTGACTTCTGAATGTCCAGTATGTCTAGCAGTTGTTTGATGAGCCTGCTCTTGAAACCTCTGCCTTGATCGGAATGTATGCGCTGAGGTAGCCCATAATCCACAAAGAACTTTTCTACAAGTACCTTGGATGCCGTGGTCATGCACTGAAGTGATCGGTCACAACCAATATATTCCCTGTCCACTGGTATTTGGTTCCAGACACAGGAAGTCAACGCAAACTAAATCAATGGGCCCACGACTTTGCAGGAAAAAAAATGAATTTCAACAACTGTAGAATCAGGCTGCAGGATAACAAAACTGATAAAAGTGAAGGGGGTGGGTGGGGTCTGAATACTTTCTGAATGCACTGTATATTTAGTGACTGAATGTATGAATTATTGCATTGATGAAGAAGCTTCCAAAGTTCCAATTTTCAGATTAACCCTTCATGGAGGGTGGTTGTGGCATAGTTAGGGAACCAACGGTCTAACAAGATCTTGGGTCTCTTTCAATACATATATTCAAGAAGAATTTAGAGGATTTTTTTTCTGGAATGCCTTAAACGGAATTTCTGCACCAACACATGAATTGGACCAGGGGTCTCAATCAGTATTTTTCAAACTGGGTTAGATATATGGGCGTCAATGCTCAGAATTCCCCAGCCAACATGCAAACCCTGGTCTAAATAACCTCTTAGCACTTTGTAATATTGTTTACTTTGCTATTTTTAGGCATCCTATGA